CAGGGGGAGTGGAAAAGAGCTAACATTTTTGTTTTTAATTCATTCATTTTAATTTTTTAAAATTTTAATTTTGTATATTTAATTCATAATTGAAAAAAAAATGCTATTTCAGGGAAACCTAGAATATGGAATCAATTATTACATGTAGCACCTGGAAATGCACCCAGCATATCAGACTTACATGTATGGGGGTTCAAACCCTGGGTCACTGGGGTTGGAGGTATGTCCAATGTACACATGATGACATGACTTGTGCTTTCCTACACTAATGCTTGTAAAATCAAAGCCACTATCTAAAATTTCTTTTACACTGTTACAGCATCACATATTAATTTGCAATTCAGTCCATTAATGGTTACATGCCATGTATGTAAAATACAAACTTAACTTTATTTCTATATATTTCAACATTTTATGCAAATATCACATGTAAGATAATAGTGGAGACAAAAAAATGAATTTTTCCATTTTGATAATTTGCTGAATCCAGCTCGGCAAAAGCGGTCATGCTCTTAATCACTACTTGAGTAAGCAAGTAGTGATTAAGTCTGCAATATTTTTATATTAGTAAAAAACGAAAAGACAATTACCAAGGATGTAAGAGAACAAACTCCAACAGGTACATGTACATAGAGATGTGGTGCCTCTTTGCATTAAGAACTGAAAAAAGACCTCATGCATAGCTTCCAAACTACAAAAGAAATTCATGCTTGAACAGAATGTACCATTTCAACATGAGCCTATTTCTACAAGGAGCCACACACCTTGTGTGCATATTGCACTTGAAGAGTCTGGACAAATATTCAAGTTCCAGATAGTATTTCAACTGACCTCTCTGTGACCTAACATTCTTGGCAATTTTAACAGGAAACTTCTGAGTCCTGCAAAATACTGTACACATAGTGGAATTTTGCAGTGACATATATACATAAATGTCACTTTTCTCTTTGAAAGTTTCACAAAAATTCCACAATGTAACAAGCTCCTAGATCCTTGAAGTCAATTAAGTTGATCAATATCATTTTACCTCATCGTTCTGTGGGTTCCTTATGAGCACATTCTGATTTATTTCCACACGATTCATGGCTATTGGTTTACAACAGTGCTACGGCTCACCTGCTATATCCCACAGTTGAATCCTGATTAGTTCATCTTCTGATCGTTGAATCTTCTTCAGTGCAAAATCAACTGAAAAATAATTCAGGAGGTCATCTGGCAACTACATAAACACTGACCAGTGGCATCTTTGCAATAGCACCTCAATGATGCTTGTCCTGGGACCAGTTATGCAGGTACAAGCGATATTGGATACATGGGATTTTCATGACAGATGCATTGTACACGTCCATGCACATAAGGGTACACAGTGCATCTGATAGATACAAGCATACAGCCAACAGTTTATGAAAGACACATAATTTCAATGCATTATACATGATTTACTGTAATATGAAGGCTACGTACGCTACTTCACAGCTGGAACAAAATGGCAGGTGCACTACTGACATGGATTCATGACTTTGTTGTACGGTTGAACTTGATTTAAAGGTGTCAAATTTGAAATCAATACATTTTTGGCTTGTACATGAAATTGACTCACCACCAACTGTCACTTTGTAGTTCTCGTCAAATCTACTGTGCACGTATCGCTGTACAAAGGCGGTCTTGCCAACCATGGAATCGCCCACAAGAATAACCTTGAAAAGCTTCTCACTCATTTTGAAGTACAGGGTATGCAGTGTGTTTATTGCATCTTAGTGTAACAGTTCTTGTGTACCATTCCAGAGTGCCAGTGATTGACTAGGCTAGATGCTTAACAAAGATTTGTGCTGAAGCAGAGAGCCACACTACATCATAACTACAGACTGTACTACATTCTGTTAAAAAACAAAGGATAATCTTTCCACATCCAACAAAGTACAATAATCAACACTGTAATTAGCCACACATCACCGGTCGCCACCAAATCCTCCTGTCCTAAAATTGGGGGAAAAATGGATACAAGCATGTGCATACTTGACAAGCAAAAAGCATGAAAAGAATTACTGGAGCTTTGGAAATAGCGGCCCTTGGTCATACCAAGTTTACATGAGAAAATTAGTCCTTGGTTGAAACCTGACTTCCTGAGATTTCCGAGCTCAGTGTTGAGTAAATCTACTCCTAACACGTGTTTCCCACATCAGTATCAGAAGTAAAGTACACGCCCAATCATTCATACATAGATTGTACATGTACGTCCTGAATGTTGCGGCGCAAAGTTCAGTTTCTTTACAAAATATTACAGAACTCGCGTGAACTCAGAGGCCAGCTTGCAGCTGTCACACAGAGGTACACCGCCCGCTTGCGACTGCCATGCGCCAACAAAAACCCCAGTTTGCTCTCATATAACGCATCTGGCGCCAAGAGATGGCGCGCTCTTCCTCGTGTTGATGCAGGATCAGTCTGGCTCCCTCCTACTGAACAAATGTAAACTCTGCAGAAGTCTTTCAAGCTCGAGACCAAAAAGGGGACTTCCCTTTTTTTATTGTTGGCTGGCTAGCTCCAGGCTGCACCAACTGTACTTGCGGCGCGGACGTACGAGAACAATCTAATCGCGCGTGTATCTAATAATAATATCGATCCTCGATCGATCTCATCCAATTCCCAGGGACTTTAGCGTCTGTTTACGTTTGTTGTTGGGGGTCATCTTCTGGCAGATGCAATTGGCGTGGATCTCAGTGTCTTTTCCCAGTGGAACACATGATTTAAGTTTGGGGTTTGCGGTGAGTTAAGTTTAACAAAGAAAGCGTATTCTTGTTGGAATTATGTGGCCTAGGCCTTAGTTGATTCATTGGTACGGTCTGGATTATCAGATAATTAGACCATAGAGGAAGGAAAACATCCTTCCTCCATGATTAGACTAGATAGCAATGCAATACATGCTTGGTTGTGAGACATTGTTTATTGGAGAGAGTTCATTGACAAAGAACACCACCAACCAACATGCCCAGACCGTGGAGATATTAAAAAGGCCAAACACGCTGCTTTCTTTGTGCAGCAGGTGTAGCCTACTAGTACGGCCTTGTTGTAGAATGATGTGCATGTACATCTATGAGCAGACATGTCAGAATTTGAATGATTGGTGAAGCGAAGATATGTTGGATGCAATAGACAAATGATAGAGGGCTTGCATGGAATACCCTCATAGAGGCCATATTTTGTTATTTAGTTTTGGATGACATTGACCATGTTGACCATGAAGTACTGTAGGCCGAGTTTGGGCGGCTTGTTCTGGTATTTTCACGAACAGCTCGATTTGTTGTTCGTGGGTCGTACTCCCAATGCTGCAAACATTTTCCCAAATCTGAAGGATTTGAGATTTTATAAAGGTTAGAGTGAAGCACATGTATACTTGTACATGTAGACATGTCAGCGATGTGATACCATGTAAATCTAAATCTATCATTTATCCTTTTTATTTCCCATAGATCTTGCCATCAGTCCATGTACATTTTTGTATCCTCCAGTTATGCTGCATCAACCTTCTACTCATCACATAACTTTGGTGCTGTCCATTGCAGCTTCCGGAATATGATAATCAAGGAATTCAGGAGTCTGTCAGGGCAAAGTACAAATAAGTTGTACCTGACTTTGTAGATAGATTTCAACAGTATGAATTCAGTGATACATAAATGAGAAACACTTGGTGGTAAATTTCCAAAGGGTTCAGTGCCAATGTTCTCCAACTGGTGCTGTTGAGTACATGAATAATGGATGAGGCGGACAGTTATAGCTTGCCTAAGAGTTTTGGCCAAGTGGGATGTATCACATCTAGAGACAATGGAGAGCAAGGAATTTGGACAGGGAAGCATAACACTGAAGATGTCTTTCAGAATGACGTTATGCAGAAGGATCACTGGTTGGCATCTTCCCACCCATCAGCTCAAGAACCAAGGGAGGACAGGCGTGAACATGGAACATCTCTGGATGAGAGTGCATCCCTCAGTAAGATGATTTGTAAGGGCATGAATGGCCATGAAGGATTGTCCCTCACTCCCGAAGCTGACAATCAAGGCAATGGATCTTTCCTTTCAGATTTATACCGATCCTGGGAACCTCGGAAGGATATAAACAATCTTCCACTTGGCATTGGTTGTCAGCATGCAATGGAATCTGTTACAGATGATAAAATTGACCTTGATGTAATAGAAAAAAGCCCATCTGGTTTTACAAGATGTCTCCAAGGAAACAGTAACCCTGACAATATGCCAAGGGGAGGGTTCGATGAGCCTGACCAAGGCCAAGTCATGCCAGCCTTCAGCTTGACGGGAGATCGCTCTGAATATCCACAACAGCTCCCTAATAATCAGTATTATCCTGAGCCAGGGGATGACCTGCCAAAGTCTCCATCAAACACAACAGTATCAAAGTCATCACAGCCATCAAGTGGTTGTCTGAAAGCAGACATCAGAGACACAAATGTAGCATCCAGAAACGATGACATTCCAGCCTGTCGTGCAATAAGTGTTGCAACCACACAGGGTCAGCAGCCAAACAGTAATCCATCCACAGAATCTAAGACATCAGAAGAAGTTGCAAAGAGAAAGATGTATCTGGAAGAGACGGGGAAAGAAGATCCTAACATGAACAGCATGATAAAGAAGCAGAAGATGTCTCCCACCGTCCAATCAGGTACATTATGGTCTTAAAAGATCTTCCATTGCTTGAACTAACTCAGGCAGGATTCTCTTAAATGGACATGTACTGTTAGTCCTGATACGCAAGTTCTCTGTACATTTTATGAGCTACTAGTATTTTCTGTTCCATATCACACCTGTATAATCCAAGCTACAGGTACCTGGGGGTTTCAATTAATGTTAAGTTGCACTTGACTTTTAAATTCCAATGGCAGGAATTGGGTCAGATTTATGTAGGAATTGCTCTTGGGTGATGCCAGACTTCAGTGTCCAGACCATTTTGACAAAAGCATACTATTTTGGTTGCGATCATGGTAAACTTTAAAATGGCTCGTGTGAAGGTCAGAATTTAGTTGGAGGTCAACTCCAAATCAAGTGCATGATAATAAAATTGTGGTAAACAATGGCATAATGCCATGTCTGATTATCTTCATGTTCATTGCATGTAAATGATGTAAATCACTGACAATCTTAGATTGCGATTTGTGGAATTACATCCTGTGATACTCTTATCCATGTCCACTCCATGGTAATTAAAGAAATTGTGTCTTCATTTTGTAGATGTGCAATACAGTCACAATGTCTTGTCAATGCCCAAAGAGTACAAAGTATCTGGCACCGGCAACTATTTATTTGACTCTCCAAGCAACTGCACATTCCATCGTAAGTAGCATTCTCTTTGATCTTTCTTTGAGGAATATTCAACACTTAATTGTAAACTTCTACAACATTTTGATTCTTTTACGATGTATTCTCTCGTAGTGTATCAGAACCAATCTAGCCATCAGTCACAAAAGCAACATGCATTCGAGTGGGCTAATCTGACCACACAAACTGACAGCGGCCATGATACAGGTAGGCACTTGGTAACATTAAATACACAAGTTCTTGAAAATTCTTGTTAGAAAAGAAGAACATGTTGAGCAAAGTGAAAACATCATGCAAAGTTGTTAGAAAACTCTTTAAGGTCTGAAACGTCGAGTTTATAAGCTCAGGAAATTGGACTTGTTAAGTCACTAGTATATCAAGACTTGTGTGATCTACCAATTTTTAGCATGTCAAAAGATGATGCCCAAGGACTCCTTAGAAACCGTTGCTAAGTTGATTGCTCAGACTACCAACTGGAAGACGTTTGCTCGTCGCCTACCCATGTCCGAGGATGGTAACCTGGAGATGGACATCAAGACACTGGAGGAATGTGAGGGAACAACGAGCGACAAAACAACCGCGGTGCTGATGAGATGGTGGAGTAGACATCCAGAGCAGAGTGATGCTACCATCATGAAAGCAAGACTCAAGGAAGGTTTGGAGTTTTGCTCACTCATCAGGTTGTCTCGTACTCTTGACAAATATCTTTAAGTTATCTCTCTCTCTCATAGCATTGAACTGAAAATGGAATCACTCTTAACCATGTAGTGAACCCAAATGCAATTAAAGGAGTTGAAATTTTTAGCAAAACAATGATTTGGAAAACCCAAACGATGAAAATACAGAATGTTGGACCACAAGTTTTTGTTTTTGAAATGATTGTTTTGTAAATACAATCCATAAAAGCATTCCAAACTTTTGCAAAGGAACATAACAATCTAATCAATTTACTATTTAGTAATAACGCTTTGAGTGTCATTTGTGTATGTGCATTTTACAAGCAGCCACTTCCCCGCTTCCAGACACTGTGTACTTTGAATTGAAAACATCCGAAAAGTCCAGGATATCCTTGCAACCAAATCTGGCAATGACACACGGTGGCAGATATCCTGATTATGAGATTACTTGTATCACAAGCATCATGGCTTTACCAGTGGGACTAACCGGTAGCATGGCTTTACCAGTGGGACTTACCAGTATCAGGTGTACTTACAGTGTTGCCAAGTACATGTATCTGTAACCTGTCATGAGCCAATTTCTTGAAACAGCCTTTGTATTCAGTCGTACCCTCACTGCCACAACCTTAGGGTTTTTAGTAAATTTTGTTGAAGTTCATTTTGACTTTTAACATAACAGCTATACACGTAGTTACTGATGCCATTGGTATAAATTTCTTACCAAATATCAATGGTAGATGTATTGGTTAGTAGGCAATCCCTGCATTTAGGGGACAATTTCTTATGTTATGACCTTGCTTTTTGAAATACCAAGTCAGCTTAGTGAAAGCTATGAGGTTGGTTAAAAGTGAAACCAGAAATTTGTATTCATTTTTTAAAGTTATTACAGTACTTTACCCTGTTAAATGTGCACACTACTTTTATCAATAAATTTCCGGAGGGGGAGGGGGGGTTAAAGTATGATGAACCTTCCTGAACCCTCCAAAACCCAACAATTAAAAAACCTGGTTAATTCTTTCTTGTGAAGCAAGTTTGGACACAGAGCCACATGTTATGCAATATAACATGGCATGGGTTGTGAAGTAGAGGATTTATCAACCTGTTGCTAACTGAGAAGGTTGGATTTGCCAGCAGATTCAGGTTGAAGGATATGACATACTCTATGAACATCTAAGAAAAGAAACCCACAAGCACACTAACAATGAGCATCCGAGTTCTTCTTTTGTTAGGTGTTAACAGTGAGAGATTCAAAGAATATCATCTGTTCATATAGATTCTTTTCCTGAGGTTTTGCTTTGTGGTTAAAACATTGAGGGAAAGTAGGAGTTACTCCTGCCAAATGTTGTATAATTGTGTCCGTGCCTAGGTACTTTAAGAATGTATGTGGAATATTTTTTTTAACATGTACACTTTCTTACGGAGCTTTGAATATGCCAACACCCTTGGCTCCAAAAGTAAACATGTAAACAAAACATAGCATTGGATCATGGGCGTATTAGTATTTGATAGTTTCCATGCTGAATTTTTAAAAGAAATTTACCATGAGGAAACTGGCATTTCAGACACATTTTTTTCCACTGTTTGCACATAAGAAGGAAATCGCTTTTGAAATTAACTGTAATGTTGTTGAACTTGTAAATAGAGACAATTGTCAAACTACCTGTAAATAATTAAAAAGTACCTGTAATGTACAAACATACATGTAGATTGTTCAGTATTGTATACGTATACACACTGTGTGCTGGCACTCAGTGTTTTAAACGTTTTTAATTTCGATTTTCAGGATCTACAACGTACGTTTCAGTAGCTGTGATGTACAGAGTTTGCATTTTTCCCAGTAGACATTCCAAGTTATCAAACCATTTTAGCATTTTATTTTGGGGTGTGTTTTGGCTGTTATGACAAACACGTGGTTTAGTTGTTTCTTGTTCAATTTCTTTGCCAATTTTGATTGGGTAAGAATTTTGAATAATAATGTTAAACCAAAATCTCCATATTGATCAGCCAATGAGAAACAACTTAACCTGTTTATGACTACTGAAAAGGTGCACCTCTATTGTGACAAGTATGTTTGTACTGGTATTAAAAGAATGAATATACATGTAGGGTACATAATACATGAACATTCCAAGAAGTAGGCCCGTCTCATAGTGACAAAGGCACCTGTGGCTGAATGTGTTCCTTCTTTGCAAAGAATGGAAGTGAGGCTAGACTTGCAAAGTACAGACCCTTTGATATTATTATGTTGTTTGCTAGTGAAGCCGCTTTTTAATTACTTGTAGCAATCATTCAGTGGGTACATTCCATTATCTTCCATGAGTTGACTTGAGTTTGACGTCATCCCCACCGTCTTGCTTGTTGGACACCGCACATAAGGCCATCCCAAGATCAGGGTTGCCCTGTGTAAGGTAATGGAATGCACCTGCTTGGTCTATGAAGTATGGTCCCCTGAATCACGCTGTGTCATCAGAATCATCAGGAATGAGCTTGTGGCTCCAGCCTCCCTGGCAAGGTCGGGCCATTTCTAGAAATACTGTGAGTTTGTGAACACTGTTCATAGTGTTCAATCACAGAACTTTCAACCAGCTGCGGTCAAGGAATTTGGTGTTCAGTGTTTTCAGTACTATTCCTTTAGTCTTGCCAATGGTAGAATGCATAGGTATACATACATGTACTTATGGTAACTATGCTCAGCTTTAGCTGCCAAATGTGGGCACGCAAAATAGATAGTAAAACAAGAAGAGATGAGGCCTATTACACCACGTAGTGGTTTTTTTCATAATTTTTTGCAATTTGGTTATGTCTATAACATTTCATATTAGCCATTACTGTGAAGTGTCTCTAAAACACTTCAGTAGATGGGAATGGCTGAGCTCTGGAAACAGTAAATAGTGAAAACATTTTCAAAATTTACACTCAGTGTTATTTTTCTATCAGAACAGTACATGTACACGTTTGGAATGTGATAGTGACTGCAATTTGTCATAGGCTGGATTTCACAAGACTTCTGAAGAAAGTCAGTTGATGATTCTTTGAAACTGTAAACACAATGACATACATGTACATTCAGAACATGAATGGCAATATGTGAGTAAGTAGATGCAAGATTTCCTGTAGCTTAAAACCATGATAGTAATAGAGCCAAATCGTACAATTCCATAATGATTTTACACACACCCCAAGGAGTTAGGGTTAAAATGTTCCAGCCTAAAGCAAGTTTGAACATTTAGCGGGCACAATCGGTCGATTGAAAGCGAGATGGTTTGGCTACTCTCTTCCACTGTTTGAGACCACGTGTTGATCCTTGTTAGCCTTATTTGTTGGTAAACACCAAAGGAACTTGGAAATAATTGCAAGCTTTTGGCAGTCATGGTCGAGAATAACAGGAACATGATGGAAGAATATGAGTGATGGGCTTTTGCTATATTAATAGTTTGACTAGTGAGTTGTTCACACGTCTTGCATTGTGTGCTTGCATTTTTAACGGGTGGAAGAACGGGTGGGTAGGCATTCACCATGTTCAGTGGACAAGGTCTTGTTAGGGAAATTTGAACCGAGTTGTGGGAACATTTCCGAGTCTCCACGTTTTCTGTCCCCACAAAATTGGTGAAATGTCCACTGTATGTCCCCACAACAGTGAGGGAAGTGGGTGTGCTTGCACTTCTTGAACTTTTATCAATTAACAAAAGTGCCACATTAGAGTAGCATGGCTTATGTTCTTTGACAGTGAGGTGGAGGGTGTGCCAATTCGTTGTTGATATTGATGCATTGTGGGTAAACCTTTCAAAATTGAAACACAATGCCTGAATAAAAGAAAGGAAATGTGTGCTAATGAGCTGAATTTAATGTATCTGTTGGACATGTATTTAAGTGGGAAGAGTGGTTGACACATTGGAATTAGTCACTGCCACTTTAAAATTCTAAGCCCGGGTACTGATAGGATTTTTCATACCAAGATGTATAAATTTCTTTTAGATAAAAACGTGTGGTCTTGGGTGTAAACCTTGCATCTTTTCAGATGTCTTGACAATGCTTTGCCGATGTTAGGGTTGAATTGTTAAATTCTTAGAGCTGTTGGTCATTACCAAGCAATACCTGAAATGCGTATTTCAATCAGCCAAAGTATTCCAAGCCCCTTGTATTCTGTAGTTTTTACAAGATTTCCACATTTGAGAATTGTTTGACAAATTGTACAGATTAAGATTGATATTATTGCTTGAAGTGATTGAAATAAAATTGGATTTGAATTGGCCTTTTTTTGTCAAAAGGAAATAAACTTACCATGAGTTTTTCTTTGTTTTGTTTTTTTGAGAGTGTGTATGATGGTGGGCAGTTCATGTGCCCACTTCAAGTTACATGTAAGTGCATAAGTTGACAACAACTTTATACACCAAAGTAAATGAATGCATAGACTTTTGGGCTTTTTAAGAGGGACAGGGGGATGTACTGAAAACACATCCACACCTTGGGAATGAGGTTGACCATGAAAACAGTTCAAAATCTTGTTTCTTGCTGTTAAGCTGACTAACCCTTTTCAAAGGTTGACTGCGGTTACATACTAAATCATCTCATCACCGAGACACTGGACACCGTGTCACAAATAAAAAAAGTAGTGGAACTTAACAAATTTAATACAAATTATTCTGTCAGTGAGATTAGTTACTCTGAAAATGTTTGGTTATTTGCAGTCATTACATTCTGACCACAAATGAGGTGAAAACCAAACCTCCTAACACAGGAAGATTCTGAAGAGTGCAACGTGCTCCTATAAGCTTGGATTTGGGAAAAAAGAATTACTGTAATTTTACCTTAGAAAAATAATTCAGAATGGCATTCACATATATTTTGACATCTCTGAGAAAGGGTGAAGTTGCGCTATGCCTTTCTATGCAATGTCTGCTCGAACTTGAGAGAGTGAATTTCTCAAATTTATTTTCGGTTTTGTTTTCCTTCAGAAATCACATCTTTGACAAGTAACTATTTGAAATAAAACCGTGTGGATTGCTGGGGTAAGTCCTCCAAGCCCAAGTCTGTATCAGACTCACTTTTTTCAAAGCCTGTTTTCTCAGCTGTGTGAAGTTGAACTCCACGGAAGCAACTCTGGGTAAATGTCACAAATATCTCTAGAACAGTTGAGGCTCCATTACTGAGATCTGCAGTATACCGAATGAAAGATTACACTGGAGGCTATTCAGCCGTGAATATAACTTTTTTTTTCATTTTTGCAAAATAATGTACCGTTCTGCAGAGCAGGTCACATATTACTATTCCCCTGGGGTTTGTAATGTTTGAAATTCATAGATTTGACATTTTCCTCATTATTCACAAAGGGAAAGGATTACGTGAAGCCAGACCAGAAGTACAACTTCTTTGAAATACAAGAATTAAAAACCTGGAGAGGAATAGACTATGTTTATAAATTTGTACATTTTCAGGCCGACTGACTCAAATATGGATCAGAGCAATTTTAGGTTTGAGGAAATATTTGCAGGTAATGATTTCACTACACATTGTAGATGTCAGTTTTCCTTCGGTAGCAGTCTTCATAAATAAAATGGAAACACCATCTTTGTTAAGTGTTTCACAACCTGTACAAGTTACTCCCAAAACTGCTAAAAATGCACAACAAAATTTGAGTGTTTCAACTAATTAAACAGGGCCTCGCCTGCAAACACTAGTGTATGAGCAGAAATCTTGCCAATTCATGCCGTTCAGCTAGTCATTACAATCGTATCCAGTACATGGAACCACGAATTCTGTTATAGTCAGGAATCTGCTCAATTGGACCTGTTGACAAATAATACAAAAAAAATCAGAAATTATGGAGAAATTAAACTCCAACAGAAATTTTTATTCAACTAATTATGCCAGAAAATCATGAATGAAAACAATGTGTATTAAACAAGTGACTTAACTGTGCACTTTGAAAGCTTGTCAACAAACTTTGCGGCCAAACAAAGGCTCTTTTTTTAGTGTGAACTTGATCTTCCATTCATCGAGAATTTTATGTAGATGTTGAAAAGTGGTAATTCAAACCTTTATACAAAATGATGACACTTCGACCACTGGGTTTTTATCCACAGTGGAGATTTTTCCCAGCTAACATCAAAACTATGACAACAGAAATAAAACTCTAAATAATGACTGACCGATTCCTGCCAATGCCGGGCACTTGTCATAGATGTGGCGAGAGCAGACATCTCTGATGACCTTAGCATTGACAGCTTCGATGCGTGCATCCAGCTCAGGTAATGGGATACGACGATTGTAACACAGAGCTTGGCGGCCAATATCCTCACAGATGGGAGTTGAACCTACAAAAGACAGACAGGTTCACGTCCAGTTTGTTTGCAAAGTCTTGTACAGGCAGACAGGCACGGTACTACAGGTTTTGTTTGGCTTTACTTGTGCCTTCCTCGGTGCTCGACTGACTGTCCCATAATCAGTCTGGAGTATTACCCTATTTGGATGGGCTACTACATCACAAATCTCGTGTAATCTGACCAATCATAAGACCTGTTCTAGCAGCCTGCAACGGATTGTGTGTTTCCGTTACCGGGTACTTTTCTTAACCCCTTAACGCCGGGATTCTTTTGACCGGGACTGCTGGGCTGTGGTATGCCCAGAATGCAAAGCTCTGTCCATCAGCAGGCCCAATTGAAACAGTAGCTGCATGATGGATACAATGTATGTGTGGTATGCACTAATCCTCACACAAAGCCGCGGCTGTCGATGGTTCCCAGCGCAAAGGGGTTAAATGATGGAGCACATGGAAAAAAACACCAATGAAAAGTTCCATTTGCAAAAATTTGATTAGCTGCGCAAAAAGACCATTACAGACATCATCTGCACATTCCAAAACACGTTGGTTTGTACCAATGCAATTTAAAATTCATTGTTGCCAACTTGAGATATTTAGCATTGAAGTTGGACGAACATTTCCGTATTAGTAGGGACAGAGAAAAAGGTCACTACGCCCATATGTAGCAATACTCCAGGCTAATAATGGTGAACATTTTCTTCCGTTCCAAAATCTCTTAATTTCCATTAATATTCATTTCTATAATCTTAAGATCTGGAAGTTTTGGATGAACCAACAACAGCATGGAGCTGCTAGGCACCCAACCTTGCACATAACAAATGCTAGGCAAAAATGGATTACCAATCAAAGGCCATGTGATGCAAATGCCTTGTGATTGGTCCCTCGCAAATTTTAACAAAGCACTTGTTTCTGCTCAGTAATCTCTGTTTCCAAATTACTCGGTTGCGGCTTGAAATGACACAGGAGTTTACGGTAGTGACCACAGCCTGTTCCCATAGATGTGGAATTTCAAGCCATAGCCAAGTGATTCGGACGTGGCTTGTGTCATACAGAGACTTGGTTTACCATCTAGCTGCAGCAGCATGTTGGTTTTAAGCAGATTCTTGGCTCTGGTCACTTCACTCTCTGTCACACTGGTACACAGATACATCCATTCTGACTGGGCATGATACATCATGTCTTCAATGGACAAGCCATCACAGACCATGTAGATTCCCCTACAATGTAAGCAAAATGACAATTTCAGCAATTTTCTGGGGTGAATTTTCAGCCAAAGAGAAATCAATATGCAGTGTTTGTTACTCTAAATATTTGGCGATAGCAGAGCCTATCTGCAATAGGGAAAATGTTTAGTTGATTGTATCTTGGTATGTTCAAACCAAAGATTCTCTAAAAACATGAAATTTATTAGCTGTTTGTGGCAGTACTGTACTTGGTTATGACCGGACACATTTGACAGAGTTTGCCTAAACTTACCACAGTCCCGTGTCAGTGTAGCATGTGTTGAATGACTGGAAGGAGTGGCACAAGTTACCCTCAAAGGCAGCTTGTGCAAGTCTACTGGCTACATTCTGAAAGGAAAGAGTCAAATAGTCATTTGAAAGCTAAGCAACCGAGTGGCAAGTGGGACTTGATCTTTTGCACAACAAGCTTTTGTTCTTTATTTACATGATTAGCCTTACCCTCCTAGGAGAGTTTGGCCGATCACAAGGAATAATTGTTGCCCAAGTAGTAAGCCAGGTCTAGCAAGTCCACTGTCCCCTAAGGCCAAACAGCCTCAGTTTCCAAGGCTGCCAGCCATCTCAAGATCTAACAGTGGCAATGTTTAATGTGGCTCGCTCCCATTGTCTCAGACTGGGCAGCTATTCCCCCCCCCAACAAGATACCACTGCTTTTGTCACCTGTTACACTTAGCTGCATGGTTTGTAAAGTTTTGGCAGATAAAAAAAAGGCTGTCAGCCAGCATCATGTAAACTAATAACTGTTTTTATTAGGTTCAAAATACGATTTGATAGAAGATCTTCTAAATTTCAATGAGTCTTCGATGCAATTTTTAAAAACTTTGGTTGAAAAAGGTCAGCAAAGCCTCTCTATAACTTTATCAATAAAGCCTCAGTATATGTGAGAACGAAAAGTAACACTGAAACTGATTTCCTGAGGACTGTTTAATAGGGTCAATCAAGTTTTACTTACAGCACCACCACCACAGGAGCGATCCCAGCTTCCAATCAGCTGAAAGGAAAATAGACAACAGATTAATTGCAATAAAATATGCAACTAGTTGAAAAATGAGTTGTAGACAAGCTATAGTTCGATATTATGAACTCAAGGTCTTGAGGTCACTACATTACAAGCTGGCATTATTGGAGAAGGTCATGGGGTCGCTTTATTACAAGCTGGCATTATTGGAGAAGGTCTTGGGGTCGCTGCATTACAAGCTGGCATTATTAGAGACTCATCATATTTGTGCACTTTTTTCATGAGGAAATGAGCAGTTTGAAAACTGTATGAATGAATCTGAAAAACTGTATTTCATTTTTTTTCCAAAAAATTTAATCTGATGAGCTTTGAAGGAATCTATGTACCGTATTGGCAACCATGAGTGGTATGTTGTCAGGATGGGCCCAACCAACTCCCTCCACAGCCAATGCAATATGGGCCAGTGGCATACTGTCATCACGAACACGGATCTGATGGGGTAAAAACACAAAATAAAAAGGTAGATGATGAAACAATGACAGAAATGCCACATGGGCACTCATATTGTTAGGATGGATACCATTAAAAAGGAAACTTTAGATGCCTAGACCTTGTAGGGTACTACCGCCTAAGTCATCAAACTTGAAAATGTGGGTAATTAAACAATGTTTGTCCAGTGGGCCTGCAATTCATGTTGGTAAAATATTTGAACTGCCTCTCTCCACTCAGGAAAATAAACAGAGCAATGACATCATTTCATTAGATTCACTGCAAAAGTAAATATCAAATCCATCCTTGAATTCCACATTGTATGTTCAAGATTTCAGTGATCCGAGTCAATAGTTAAGATTTCTACCTTCCAGTAACACCCTTCATAATTACCAACAACCATCAAGCTTACTACACACTAACCTCGCTGCCGGTGAACCTACACGGTGGCAATACAGGGATTTCATTCTCATAGTCGATACCCAGATTACCAAAGTGCTTCTCAGCCAAGCCCACCAGTTCATCATGATTGACCCCACCGGCTGCTGCCAGCACGATGCGTGGTCCCTTGTAGTGGGTGGAGATGTACTCTACTAAGTCATTACGGTTGATGGACCTACGAAGGACAAAGGCAAATAGCCATCTTCATAAGAACAAGATTGACAGAAGTCAAGTCACACTGGGCTAGGAAAGAAATTGCCAAACAAAATAAGTCAATACTTCTTGAAGCACGGTCTGCATAAGAGGACTCTGAGATCTTTAACCCTAACAGTACCGAATGCTAGAAAGTACTACTTAGTAGTAAAATGTAGTACTCAGCCCTTTTGCTTGCAAGAGGACATGACATTATTATTCTCTGAAGCCATAAAATACACTAGAGAAGACAATGTACCATACAGTACTGTGGCACTATGAATGCATGGTTTCATTGTTCTCTGTACGAGTAACAACGGCATAAACCTAGCCAGAAATAGTAATTTGTAGCGTTATGTCCTTCAGGCTCAGAGTGTTACATAGTATTTTGTAGTACTGAGTACTCTAAACCAAACAACGCCCAGTACTGTTAGGGTTAAATTATCCACCAAAAGGGTTTGGAGGATTTCAGGAAAATAGCAGCAACAACTTAGGAGATTCAAGCCGATATTAGACTACATGGGATTTGATCCCCAAGCAGAAAAGAAGGGCAAAACTGAATATTCCAAATTTGAATTTACACAAAACGTAGCCATTCTTTTTTAAATTACTAAGGATAAAGGAAAATTCCTTTGAAATATGCCACTGGAGCTGTAGCCAATTACAGAGATTAGAAATACTGAGATGCTTTCTTTAGAAATCCATTTCGTTTTCAGTGACAAGACTATAAACTTTGTGAAACAAAAATTGTTTGAAACATTTTAAAAAAACCAAAGATTTAAGACTTCTTATGGGGAGTTGTTCCCAATAGCTGTCACTCTGAGACAACATTTACAGTTTTTTTCTGATTTAAACTTTGCTGCGTTCTGAAATTGCAGCAGAGTTTGTGTAAAGTGTTTGTCATGACTAAGAAGGACAAGAAATTTATGCAAAATTCAGTCTGTACTTACTTGATGTTCTCGGTGGGCCCTAGGATGGTCCTGCCTAACGCTGTGCCCTGGTAAGCAGTCGCATGCAGATGATCAAAGATGACCTCTTGAAGATTTGTCTCAACTTCCTGCATCTCCCGAAGAATCACCCCTCGTTCCCTCTCAATCTCTGCCTCTCCAAGGGTACTGTTTTGGATGATGTCGGACAGGATTTCAACAGCTATCAGGAAGGAATAAAGAAACTGATCGCTGTTACTTTACCTGGGGCATAACATCTCTTGAAAATACAGCAAAGTTTTAATTTGGAAGATTCAAGATTTCTAGCAAATATTTAAGAAAGTTACAGTATTCTACAATTAAGGCTTAGCTTCTTGTAATAATAGGAGACTACAGTCAGTCCTCCATAGCTCACCTTTAGGTAAATCGTTAGAGAAGCTCTTAGCATAATAAACAGTCTGTTCTCTAGAAGTGTAGGCATTGAGATGGGCTCCCATATTCTCAATTTCTAGCTCCAACTCCATCTGGGATCGATTTTTGGTGCCCTGTGAGTAGGTCAATAAATTAAGGTTAAAAACCGTAGCTCAGATCTGTCTGATAATGTCACATTACCATTTCATGTAGACTCTAACTCAGTTAATTTGCCAGGTAAATTCTGTGCTTCTGCTTAACCCTAACGATCCCCAATCCGTAGAGGATTACCCTGGGTAAAATGGATGAAGGCTTCTTGAACAGAAAACTCGATCCTTAGCAGAATCAATATCTTGAGCCAAGGCTTAGGTAACGATGTGACTTTACAGTTCAGTTACAGTCTGTATCTTTCTAACCTATGGTTTCGATACAATCATCTACTCCCTGACCATGTTCTGTTCATCCAATATTCATAGCGCCAACATGTACTGCACTTTGATGTCGTAACCCATTAAGAGAGAACATGACAAACTTTCGAACTTCCACAATGCAGATTTAAGCCTTTCATTATGTAAGTTAGTTTTACTGACAGGAGACTACATTTGACAACAAACAAATCAACTTCTCTTGCTGAACTTGGATTGCTAAAGTAAATGGTAGTTCTTTGCTAGTTTTCAATGGGAGAATGTACCTTGAAAGCCATGTGTTCCAGAAAATGAGCGGTACCATTGTTCTTCTCATTCTCGTACCTGCTTCCAGCATCGATCCAAAGTCCAACCTAATGAACCCAGACAAAAAAGAAAAACACACACAAAGAAAATCAGGTTTCGTTGTTCCATTCCAGTAAGAAATCGAAGACTAAACAAGAGAACAATTTACTGGAGGCAGAATTGAAGCAACTACTTAATCAACCAACCTTGCAGGGTCTGAAAATTTTCTCAGATGTAATAACAAATCAAATTTCAACTATTTTTCACATCCTGCCAAATGGAAAATACGGCACAATGAAAGGGAAGATCTAAGTCGGCTGGAACCCACGAAATAATCAAATAACATTTATAAGGAGATAAGGAGGCCCAATTTCCTTCTCATCTCAAAACAACGCATTTATCAATCCTGGCTTATAGCTTAGTCTCTTAGATTTGACGGGGTATTAAATTATTTGATGCAATCCCTCCAGCATTTTTTCCAAAAATCCTGAATGTTTCAGCTATAGGTCTCCTTAGGATTCCCAAAGAAATGTTTGGAACACTTGTCATTTGGTTTCAATATTAGAGGCATTGCCTGGTCTTCTATGTAGGGAATTAATGGGGATGTTATCTACAAACTGCTCAAGCTATGTGACAAACCTAACTGTCCAGGCATTTGTCCCTCAAACTTTCTGCCCTACGTACTTCCCTATTGTACTATTCTTGGTACATGTAAATAACTTTCAAGGAGCTTAAAGTGTCATGTGGACAGTGGGGCTCTACATGTACATGTGCTGTACCCCTTATCTACCTGCAAATTAGTCCCATACTTCCTGGTGGATTTCAAACAATCTAGGATGTCAGGTTAAGAGCAGTCTTCTCCAATGGCATATGTAACACTCATAGTCAATAAAAGAATTTATTTTCTGCTCACCATGTAATGAGGGTAAAGGTCATGTCATATTCAACTACCAACTGCAGCAAAATTAAGGACACTGATAGCGATTTTCATCTCTTTTTTTTTTTTACTGCACAGACAGACTTACTGTGCATGTGGGCATTCCAGAATCTTCTGAAGTAACTCGGAAACCGTTGCTCAGAGTTGACATCTTTGTTTCAGGCACATTGACAAGTGTTTGTTGATACGCAGCAGACTGAGTAGACTGGTACCTGCGACCTACAGTCACACTGGCTGGCCGTGCCTTCAGGAAGGATAAGTACCAATCAGGTTAGAATACCAGAGAAAAAGTGTCAGAGATCAGAATGGAGACAAATCATACCTGCATATGACAACATAAACTGAGGACGATTAATATGTCATGGGATGTGAATTAATATTGCAAAGTATCTAACTCAATGACTGAATGATTTCTGTGCTACAAAAGTCAGAAAGAGTGAGGGTAGAGAAATTGATTTGCCTCTGAGCTCTTTTTTTTTTCACAGTGAATATCATTACGGAAGTTTCGACAGGTTACAGGTCTTTTTTTTTGCACTAGTTGTATGCACTGGAAACAATGTACACAATGCATTACACACTGGGCATGCACAACGTCACAAACATCCAGTGTCGGCTCGACCTTTAACAAGTGTGTGACCAGCTTCACAGTGCAGCATATAGCGCCCACCCTGCCATACTCCCGCATTTCCAAAATGATCACGCAGATATCAGATGGTTGTGACCTTCCATATGTGCAATGTAAGATGCATTGTGTAAACAGCCCACAAATCTCTAGAGAAGAGGCTACGGTATGCAGATTGTGTGGATTGTGCTGGGAAGAGAGGCAGGATGGAAATTAAAAGCTGTGAATTCTGCCAAACTAGCTGGTTACAGGGTCCAAAAACTAAATCCCATACGTTTAAAAGAGATATGATTTACGCTTAGTCATGTTAGTTTTGACAGCTTTTTGGGGAGAAGATTCTCGCAGTTGGAGGTTGTTCCATTTATCACACTCACATCTGGCCAAGGGCAACTCTCCATTCACTTTGTACAGGGATTTGTATGTGTTCCTCATTTTCACGGCAATGTCATAAAATAACGGAAACCTTTTTGGTGTAGGTACAGGTCAACTCGTATACGTGCCAACACATGCACTGACCAACTCGTATGCTGATTGGTCAACTCATTTGCCAACCAAGTTGTACACCAACTAACTCGTACGTTGACCAACTCACGAACCACAACGTGTCGCCCTGTCTGTTTTAGACTGAACTATGGACTCCAATGACAGGAAAACATTAAAAACTGCTCTTTTCAGAACTACCAAAAAAAAAATCCCTTTTCAGAGAATAGCATCTGCATTCTGTGGACGTAAACTGGCACAGTGTAACAAGCATTCATGTTGATTCGGATACCAAATCCAATAATTCTAACTAGTCTCATTAAGACTATGTATAGAGACGTCAGGGAAATCTGTGGTCAGGGAACCACATTAATGCAGATGTGTGCGGACTGTCGAGGGACTTATTGGCCAGGATGGTTGGAAGAAGCTCGTTTTTTGCCAATAATGTAGGTTACACTCTATGAAATACACATATGCCCAGTGCTTTCATAAAGGTCTACTATTATTATGGGCTTTTCAGGAGAAGATTTTATCGAGAAAGTGCAAATGGAGGTTTTCTCTGGTACGATTGCAGGGCACTTTTCAAATGCTGTTGCATACAGAACCATCAAACATCAGGAATCACTAAGGCCTACAGAGTAGTGCCTTACTGTTTAGGAAGTAGGTCCAAGTTGGCTATGGGCATGATGGGTCCGGGTCCGAGTTGGTTATGGGTCCATGTTGGTATTGGGTCCAAGTGGGCATGGGTCTGAGTAAGTTTGGGTCAGAGTTGACTCAGAAAGAATTCCACATACGGACACCAATTGAACTGTAAGGTTTATACAAACCTCTAAGACAGCCATGTACAAACTCCCATAAACACACTTTGGCTATATTGATTGTGCCAACTTACTCTTTCACCAAAGCTATTGGAGCAATCGAATTTCATACATGCCTTCTTGATGAAGTTTGATGTCAGATGGGAAGGTTTATTCACCTTATATCCTCATTAAGATGGTGAAATTCTTGAAAATTTTGCCCATCCACACTACAGAAAATCAGCAGCATGTACTCTCAATCACTGTCAGCTGTGTGCTAGCTTGACCAATCAAAATACAGCTCGTATCTTTTCCTTTTGTTTTCCTGACCCCATCCAAATGAAAGCTGAGCTGTGATTGATCAATGGAATGGAAGCAAATTGGACCAATCACAGTACAGCTTTCATCTGTGGGTGACAGGAAAACAAAAAGAAAATGTTTAAGGACACATTTTTGCTTTCTGATGGCTATTAAGGCTATTATAGGGGTCAGTATATGGAGCTCTTCCCGTTGACTCAAAACCAGAAAAGTCGAGGCGCAATGGCTGCATCTGAAAACTGGGCATTAATAATATTAGAAATCAAGATCATGAAACATGATCCTCGAGGTAGGGATGACGTCACTGATTCTTGATTCTTCTCTCTGAGTAGTCAATTGATGGCTATTCCATATTTCACACTCAAAACTCAAAGAGGCAAAAATAGTGTTGCAGTCTATGGGGAAAAATCTGAAGTACTGACAGGCCTAAACTCAGCTCTTGACCTTTTAGTTTTAGGCCTAGGACATGTAGGACATCAAATGTGCCTGAAATTTCACCACATGAATGTATCATGTTTATGTTTTTTTATGCACTATATAAGTATAATTTCTAAACATCTCCCTCACTGTACTGAAAAGGTTTCAGTTATTCTTATCTTATCTTCTTATAAAAACTTGTAAATCCTTGTAGAAAGTGAACGGACAGTTGCCCCTTTGGCCAGACGTCGAGTGCAAAAAAATAATGGACAACCTCCGACCTCGAGCACGTCGAGAATCGATGGCATGAAGACTCGCGCTGCGCATGCCGGTCATGCCGGTACGGTAGTGCGGTATATATTGAGCCAATAAAAATCATTCAAATTCGGTAAGAAATCATTCTTTCTTGTAAACTGTATTATGCTGAAATATCAGTATCATTTATACTAATGAATTAAGGGCATAAGATGCATTACCAACGCTGGTGATGTCGAAATTCTTGCCAGGAGCAGAGACGATCTCCCTAACCACGACGCCATTTTGCCTTCATAAATAATGCATCGTATTGCTGACGTCATGTTGGCATTTTTTTCATTCGCATTTATAAGGAGGCATATTACGGCCATTCGAAATTTTGAAATAAACAACCTTTTTATAAGTCGTATGAATCTTGTGCTTTCGGTGTCCCTATCGAAAAAGTCACCAACCCAATTTCTCCTATAAATCAGATCTAGGACTGAATTTTAAGGGGTCCAATTTCTTCGGGGCAAAAACTGTGGAATTTCTTAATGTATTTTTTCACAGTGCATGAGACTAAATTTTCCGAGAAATGAATGCCCTACCGTTTGTAAATCGCCTTCAGATTGTTGCATATATTGTCTCATATATTACAAAAACAGACACGTTTACTTTTAGCCGTTAGGGGATACCATTTGCGGAAATGTGAATCTACACTTACACATCTCCGTTGAATCCATCCTGTGTCATGGCATGTTTTCTTTGAATTCTGTATTTCCTAGAGATTTCCCGTCAGAACTGTATCACCGCCTTGGGTCCTTCGTTGTGTATTTTTGTCACTATGCAATGAGGTCACAAAAAAGGTCTATGCACCCCCAGAGCAAAGGCGTAGCCACGGGGGGGGACTCCCCCCCCGAATTCCCGGTGCCCCCCTAATAAAATCCTGGCCTTCCCCAGGGAACTTTGAATGACCACAAGACCGTCTTCTCGAAAGTCACAGACCTAAGGGCGCATGGGCAAGCCTTATTTACATCATGCCGGCTCGTATGTCTTTTATACCTCATCATCTTTCTATAAGAAATTAAATTTCGCAGGTTAGTAAAACGGTGCAAAATTGAACAGCACCGCCTGGTAACTCTCAGGGAGATCGAGAAGTTCGCCTCCCGCTTTAGAAATTCAAGATTACAGTCAGTTCACTTTTCTTTTCCATTCTAGAGGGGTTAACCATGCGAATTTTTTATTCGCCCTTCGCCGAAAACACCACAATGTAGAAGTAAAACTATGCACTCATCTCTGATTGTAGCCACCTGCCACGGGTTAGACGTTTTTGTGAATGAAACACGCCGAGTTGGACGCCAGCAATCCCAAATTCGTCATTTATAAAAATATCTCCATGGTCATTCCCGATTTGGGTACCTCTTATTGTAAAACCCCATCGGGATCACAAAATATTTATGAGCTCGAGCGTAAAAATCTACCCATTTAGTGGCATACATCCTGTTTCAAAATAACCACTGACTCATAAGAAAATCAAACGTCCTGAGAAAGATCAGTTGAATAAATCGTTTTATTAGTGCAGTGCAATGTTTAAATTATGTTATAAAGCAATCATGAATAACAAGGTACAAAATAAGTTCTCTACATTTACAAATAAATATAACAAAACAAGAAAACCGTAACAATGTCGTGTATATTTACACATTGTCAATGTACTAAGGCAGTTGGTAGCAACCATGCTTGAAATTCAACACCAAACTCATGAAACTGTCGACCAAAAAAGGCATAAAAACAAACGCACGTTTCTGGGCAAACAATCTGAAAATTCATACAGTTAACGTTTTCGGCAGCAGTCAGGATTACGAGGTATTAATATCAATTGTTAATGAACTTCCCAATAATCTTTGGTATATCGAACCCGAATAGATCAGAATCAATTTCATAGTACTTAATGAGTGCTTTTATGTTTGAAGAACTGAGCGTCGCGAATAACTGACGTTGCGTGTTTTCGTCAGCGCTGTTTGTGACATGTTTTGGATCGTGTCTAGGGACGTAAAAGGTACGATTTTCCCCTACGAGAGCCATTAAGATTGAACGGATGTCCGTCTGCAAACTATCGAAGTGTCCAATCCAGTCATAGTCGACTAGACATGGTTGACATATTTCGTACATCGGACACCAATGCTTATACAAACTGAGGCGAGCTCGCTTAAGAGTTGATTTCTTTTCTGCCAAGACAAAGCTTGCAAACTGCGACAAAGTGACATGGCTTTTCTGGACCACTGTACCACTGGTCCTCAGCCTGAGTTTGGTTTTCGCGATTTTCGGGACCAATTTTGTATGGCCATTAACAGATCCAATAAAATTACGTAGCGTTTTAAAGGCGGGATCCACATTCGTCTCGATTTTATTCCTGTATGCTGACAATAATCTTTCTAATGGGTTTCGGACGAACAGGAATTTTTTGTAAGTTGCCAAAATCTGTTGAGCTTCTCCTAAGTCGTAATAATCCAGAGAAGTAAATTTTCTTAACCCAAGTTGGTGAGGTTGAACATTGTGTTTGTTAGGATTTAAATGTCCAGTTACATTTAAAAGCATCCGAAGGATGGTAGTACTACTAACTTTGGGGATTGTGCAATACACCACCTTCAGTGGTTCGATGACTATGAACTCTCTCGGGAAACGCCTCCAGCTATTCGCCTCGTACCTAAGCGGTGGATCAAAAGTATCGGCTTTGGCTTTGAAGGCAACACACCTGTCCCGTAGCAGCTGTTTTCGAGACATCTGCTGTCTCTCCCAAATAACGGACCGGGAAACATTTGGTTCCTGGAAGTGAAGAACAAACATTTTCGTATACCGTTGAACCATATCTGGTGATCAGCTTTTACACACCTGTTAACTGTATTGGACCGTTTTGTGAGGACATCCAAATTTCCAAATATAGTATACTAGGTACCGTCTTTGGTCGATTTCGAGTCGGTTTTTAAGCACATATTCCACAGCTAAATTTCAGATGCACTGTGTTCGTGACAATTATCGACGCAAAGATTACTGTTCTTGTTTTATAAAGAGCAGGGAGGTGAACAGATTAAGGGACGAAAGAATTGTGTTGGTTCTTCAGGAGTAGGTTGGAGAAAGGGGACATGGATAGAATACATGAAGTAACCAGCTCACGAACAATGCTGGATATCCGGTTTCTAACTTCGTCACACCATACACGCGTACGCACCACTTGTTGCAAGCTCCCATTGGATGAACACACAAGTTCTGCTTTAACTTCCGGTTCCAGGGTTCCATTGGTTCTATGTGCAGTGACGGGTGGTTCTAACTGCTTGACGTCACCCTTACGTAACAGATAAATGTACAGTATAAAAAAGTAAATTACGTCGAAGATAGTAGGAAGCCCCGTATTGCAGCAAATTCGTGTCAACGCAGCTTGTGGAATATTACACGATAATTATTCAAAAAAGACACGGGAAAACCGTAAAAGGTTATTTTAGAGATTTGACAGGCTCACAAACGGCGATAGATCAATACCGATCAATGCACTTACAACTGTTCCTTGGTGTTTGTGAAATTTCTGTCCCCATCTCCCTGTAACATTTGTCCGTGTGGACGAAGATACTGTGCCTGAGGGGTAAGAAACGGAAAACAAATAACAGAATGAGGTAGATTACACTGGAAATTACTATACACTTTGAGATAGTCAGGCTACATAAAAGAAAAACAGTTATTACGTCATACATAAAGTGACTAGGCCTACATAGCTTACCCTATTCTTCCTTTGTGACGTTTGAAAAAATTAACAACTGACTGTCGGGAAAACAACCGCAAAAATTAAGCAAAACAGCTTGATTGATTGATGATTGATAGATATTTTCTGGAAAGGTAGTATAGTTTACTTGATGTACTCAATGATTTCATTCAGAAAGTACCAGCCACGCACGTATTCGTTGCAACATAATCGTTGCTTGCATACTTCATGCATACTTCAACATGAAGTTGTTCTATAGAGTTGCCTTGTACACTGGGCCGCCCTTTTTAAAAATATTGTCCAGCTCAGTTCCGACCGACCCCATTTTTACTTCCAATCGGGGAAACAAACTTAATGCCACTGAAGTACCGACCCTGCTAATTTGTTTTTCAAGCGCTGCAAAATATCAAATGATTGTTGTGGACCACATCATGGCTGAGGCTTGGTACGCACATTAATTGGAGCACCAACTTGGTCTTGACCCGCCATGTAATCACCTCAGCATAGGGCGGCTTCGACTTTTTGCAGTAATTATTTTCGGCAGCCTACCGCTTTCTTTTTTGTTAAGTCACCAAACCACTGTACTAAACGTTGATCTATTTAAACGTTTAATTGATGTAGTCACAGATGTTGCTATCGAAGTCAATCTGATTCTAAGTTTCTCGCAATATCAGATCAAGGAATGTGCGGTTCCTAAGTGACGCGCACACACCACTGATTGCACGCTTCCATTGGATGAGCACTCAAGTTGCGCGTTATCTTCCGGTTCCATGGTTCCATGTATGCAATAGGCGTCGTTTGAAGTGAGGTGACGTCACACCTACAAACCGGATAAACTTCTTATATATAAAGTTGTTAGATCTTACGCTATTCGTGCAAACTGACCACGGCTGGAGAGAGCAAGGCCTCAGATATCACTCGTCTAAGGCGTACCGGTAAGGGATTGTCGCAGGCGTTCAACCCCCAAGTTGATGTTAACAACTGAATTTATTAGCCATTCAATAGTACATTCCGAGGACGGAACCAGGGCAAAATTTCCGGGGGGGGGCACCCACTCTTAGGAGAGGATAAACTTGGGAACAAGGCTTTATGAACAAATTCACCGTTTTCTCTCATTATATTTGCAAGAATTTGCCCACCCATCCCCTTGAAGGTTGTGCCCCGTTCATCTTGTCCCTTTGAGCCAACTTGAGTACCATATTTACCCAAAATGGTGGAATCACGTGACAATCAAACACTGAAACAGACTCTAAATGAGGACCAGCGATAACTGCGCAGTTTGCATTACTCACCCGTGTAATGCCAAAGGTTCAGACAGAGAAACAAGTATATGAAAGCAGTCACCGCCACAACCAGTCTGCACAAATGATGGGTACCAACAGTCATCCTGAAGTGAACAAGGCGTGTATACGTGTACTTTGGTGAAGGAACTGTGATGCTTTCTTGCTATTACCGCTCAGTCACTAGTCACTTTGGGCGGAGAAGCATTGCTCACTGACTCAATCGTCGAGTCAGGTGTTGATATCAGCACAATGATTCCATGATTATGTCAGTAACGCTGTCACTTTGGATTGTCCTAACCCGCAGACGGCAAGTCATCAAGACGGTCGTATTTTGTCTGTATATCGCAAGATTATTCCCTTACTACAAACATTGGCCAGTGGGACGACTTCGTTTATTTCTTTTGCAGAATGTCATGAAGAAAGTCTACGCAAATCGCCTATTGACAAAGCTATGGGCTGCTTACTGTCCCAATAAGCTCCGTATGGTCATGTCGTACACTTGTTACCAGCGGTGGATCGATTTTTCAAAGTGGGGAACGGTTGTGGAACCAACTGGTATCAGCCATGAATAATAAATGGGCCGATCAATTAAGCCCCACAAACTAGAGCATGCTATGATTGAGGGTCCAACTTAAAATTAAACAAAACATTGTGAAAATATTCATCTTTGGTCCATCCTCATTCCAATGTTATAATCTTTACTGTAGCATATTTGAAATGGTTGTTTTAATTGTATTTTAAATGTTTACTTTAAGCTGTAGTCATCATCTCTCATGAAAATGGTCTGACGACATGGCGGTGAAGTAAGCAACAGAACAAAACATACCGCATACCGATATCTCTATTTTGTGATTAAAATTTGATGTCAATTTTGCACGCCATAATTTGATGAGGTCGGTGAATGCCAGTGGGCGTGACAGATAGTCGATCCTCATATCTTACCCCTAGAAAACTAAAGGCTCAGAGAGATTAACAGTCACTGTCCACATCCTCTGAAGTCTATGCCAATGCGTAGTACCAAGACAAGTGTTTTTGGAGAGATGAGGCATCGAACAGGAATTGATGCTACCAACTCGCAGAATGCCCAGTGAATGCCCCAACTGTGCTTCGAGTTGAATGGAGGTGTATTTATGTATGATGTCAGTAGCCAACTAATGGGGACCAGTGGAGCCTCGGCACTGGTAGAAAAAATGGGCTTGCAGCGATACATGTAGACCTAACCATGGAGCTACTTTTTGTGGCTCCATCGGAGGTATCACTAGTTAATTACAGAAATTCACCCCAGGACATTAACCATAGTTCGACTATCTGTCATCGAACTTAACTCAGTCGACGATGGTTGGGCTACCAGTCAACTATTTTCAACCAGCCCACCGAGGTTGGGTCGCGTCGCCGGTTGCCATAAACCATTAATAGCACAGTACAGAGAGAACCAGCTATAAGAAAAATGCTGGAAAAACAGTATACCACCGGTAAACGACCATTTTGTTACTGTAATTTTTGCTATTTTGCCCTGATTCCTGCGACCACTGTTTCTCCCCTTCGGCCAAGCCTGAAACCTGACAACGGTTGACTACAGGGTTGTTCGCATTTCAACTTCACTGCACATGCGTTAGGTACGTCACGAACTAACCACTAGGTAACTAGTGGTGCTTTTCCCATTGTCATGTTTTGCCAGTCCACGTCTTCATAACACAACTTTGCACAAGAAATTAAACTCTTCAGCATTTTATAACTCGCGTGTTTTAATTCAACCAGTGCCAATGACTCACAATTAATCCATCAGATATTTCAACCATTAAAGGAAACCTTTTAGTGAATGATAAATTTTAAACTATTCTTATCTCAAATAAAAAGATACAACTTAAGTTACACGTACAAATTTACACTAAAAATAAAGAGATGCGTACAAGCACATTGAATCAAAATACCTGTAAATTGTACGATAAATGTATCAAAGATAAATAGTTCGCAGCACCCTTGCCAGATATATGTATTCAGCAGCTATAAACGTATGGTACTGTGAAAAAAAAGTTCATGTGACGGGCCATTTTGTCTTTGTTATTGCCTCCAAGTATTTCAATACATTTTGGTTTATAGGAGTAGCTCCCCTGTAATTTTTAAAGACACGTATTAAGCTCTCATCTCCCGCACAGTGACTCCCACCGAAGAAATAAGCTGTAGCACCGCCGCATTATCCACTTCGGAAATACTGTGTTGATGTTTCGTTTTCTTTTCTGCTTAAATCTGTGGTTTCTAGACTTTTGTATTAATTTCAGGTAAATAGTAGAATTTGGGCTTGTTTTCAAGATTTATAGATTTCTAGTTCTGTTCGGTAATTGATGGTGTGGATAACATTCTTGTTTACCAAAATGAAGATGCTGGCCAAACATAAGAGCGTAGCAGATTTTCTGGTCTACATGTAAATTTCTGTTGAAGTTATTAAATAATATAACTGGAAATTGAAACAGGAAAAAAGGTATGCCCAACAGAAACAAATCCAAATATAGGGGAGTTGGGGTTGGGTGTACCCCTCTGTATCAGTTACAGATATGCTTTCCACACGAGGGAATATTTGTCTTAAAAGTCTGATACCTTAATACTTTAAGGATGGTACATATCAATATGAAAAATAATAATTTCATTTACTGTAATGCGTCGTAAGTATAATAACCGCATCACTTCGTAAACTCTGCTAATGAGGATATCACACGTGGAGTGCCTCAAGGCTCCACCTTAATTGAGTCCTTGACTGTTAATTATCTATACTAATAATAAACGGTTGAAACATATTCACACTTTGTTTTGTTCATTGATTACACAAAAAGGGCATCGTGAATCGTTTCAAATAATTTCACCTTTCAAGTAGACCTATGGTCCTATTTACTCCATAGGTATTTTTTACCATGTTAAAATTATACTCAGTCTTGATCTGGGCATAAAATCTCATCGTACAAATGTAACAAATTACTTTACAAAATGAATGGCTCTTATAATATGCTGGCTACGAGTATCATTCGTGGTCTTCTGCTTGCAAAATTATTATTTTGTCTATTTTACTGTTGGACGACATATCACTTTAATCTTGGACAACTTATGAAACATGTGCAGTGTGGTTCATTGGGGTATGCAGTTCTGTTATCGTACCCTCTTCTTGTCTTTATGAAAAACATAAACAGTCGGTTCTTCGACTCACATTTATAAATTACTTTTTGAACTTATAGTTGCCCTTGGTTTTGCACTCGTCTGTGTGAATGTTGTGTTTTGTGTATGTAGATCCTATCGTATACTTTAAGTCCGGTATGTCTTAGCGATCATCAAAGATCCAGATAACAAAATATTACTATCCATTGTTAATCAGTTTTCCAATACTGGGTGGTATATCAAAACCAAACAGATCATAATCAAGTTCGTAGTACTTAATGAGTGCCTCTATTTGTGGAAACTTTAGAGTCGCAAAAAAATAACTTTGCGTGTCTTCTGCAGAGCTGTCTGTAACATGTCTTGGATAGTGTTTAGGCACATACACTGTCCGATTTCCCCCTACGAGGGCTCGTAAGATTGAACAGATGTCTGTCTGCAAACTTTCAAGATGTCCAATCCAGTCATAGTCGACTAGACATGGCTGACATATTTCGTACATCGGACGCCAGTGCTTGTTCATGCCTGGACGTGCCCGCTGAAATGCCTTTTCTCTTCCAGACAATACAAACTTTGCAAACTGTGAGAAAGTGACATTACTTTCCTGGACTGTTAAGTGATTGGTCATCGAACTGCGTTTGATTTCGCGCGTTTTTTTTACCAACTTGGCACGCCCATTGGAAGATCTGATAAAATCACGCAGTACTTCAAAGGCTGGATCAACATTCGTCTCAACTTTATTCCTGTACGCTGACAGAAACCTTTCTAGCGGGTTTCGGACAAACAAGAATTTTTTGTAAGTCGCCAATATTTTTTCGGCCTCTCCTAATTCGTAACGATCAAGGGAGGAAAAATTGTTTGACACGAGAATGCGAGGTCGGGGGTTTGGGGGTAAAAGTCCGGTTACATTTAGAAGCATCCGAAGGATGGTAGTACTACTAACTTTGGGGATTGTGCAATACACCACCTTCAGTGGTTCGATGACTATGAACTCTCTCGGGAAACGCCTCCAGCTATTCGCCTCGTACCTAAGCGGTGGATCAAAAGTATCGGCTTTGGCTTTGAAGGCAACACACCTGTCCTGTAGCAGCTGTTTTCGAGACATCTGCTGTCTCTCCCAAATAACGGACTGGGAAACATTTGGTTCCTGGAAGTGAAGAACAGAGTTCTGACTGGTGAACCATAAAATTGCTATTTAGTTGTGGGGTTTACACCTTCCATTTTCTTAGGAATTAGTATTGTTCACAACAAGGCCATATTTGTGCGGACGTGACTTCAAACCTATACGAAGATCAGTGGGAACATACCATCATCTTTGATTTAGTTCCTTCTAAGCACATGTTCCACTGATAAATTTGTGATATCGTGGAGGATCCAAGAATTCTTCGGGAGGGGGCAGCCCGAATATTTTTCTAATGTCTCTTTTCTTTTCTGGGGGGGGGACAAGCGGATGAAACATTGATGAAACATTACATGACATAAATTATTTACAGAACATGTAATACAAGACTGCTGCAAACTGCTTGCTGGATACAGTGACGTAAAACACAAATCGCAAAACAAGGAAGGCCCGACTTTCGATCCTAGTAGAATCTTTCTCAAAGATAAAATGACGGACAAGAAGACTGGGACAAACAAGTAAGCAGAGAATTGACCAAAGACGGACAAACGCAGGAGGGCAAAAAGGAAGGCTAAGAAAGCTGGTGGATAAAATTGTTTTTAAACGAGTTTAGGTTTTTTTTTGATTATTTTTTTTTGTCTCAGAGCGGGGGAGGGTGCTTAACCCCTCCTTCAGGGGTACCTTCTCCAGGGCAAGCAGATTCAGTTCACTGAACTGAATCTGCTTGCCCTAAAGAAGGTACTCAGTTACCGAAAGCTCGGCAATCACATATTTCAGAGCACTGATTTAATATTATATTTTCCGCGGATATTCATTCTATCTAAAAGTGCATTGGAATGGTGAGGTAGGAGTAGGCACGGAGGAGTGAAGTAGGTAAAATCAGTGGGATGAGAGGCGTGCCAACTACTTGAACTGGATGTAACAAGTTCACGAACAGCATTGACCAGCTGGTTAGATTACATCGACAAGTACAAAGCATGTACTTACAACTATTTTGTGGTATCCTCCTTGAAGTGCTCTTCTCCATCGTCCTGTTATATTTGCTTGCTTCAAGTTAGACAACGATACTGAACCTGTTTAGGAGACAACCTTTTTTTAGACAGAGTAAAGCAGATTACAGACATTATGAAGCCCAGGCACAGACGGTGTTTTTTCAAACATTGTTCTTTCGTTCACACGAATTAATTTTCGTTCATAGTAATTCGTACAAACGAAAAGAGAACCCAGCCCGTTCCTTCCCAAGCTTAATTCAACTACATTCTAAGAAAGTTGGGGAAATTTTTCTCAAAAATAAAAATTCTGGATCCTATTTATTCAGTATTTTAAAGTAACTGTTTTCAATCCCTTCCAGATGTTGGAAAATATAGCCAGTTGAGCGATTCCTAGAAAAACTACCACACAGATTGAGCAAAGTTTTTCATCACAAACTGATTGACTGGTATTTTCCAGTAAGTTGCCGTAGTTCACTTGTACTTGATCCACGAATGTGCACTCTGCAGCATCATCACATAACCTTTGCAAGAGTACGGAGCATAGCTCTAAAGTTGTAGAGTAACCATGTACATGCATTCAGACGACCTTTTTCAATTCTTTGGTTCTTATTTTCAGCCAACCCTTCTTCTAGTTCCCTATAGAGGCAAAAAAAAAATCATTTTCACTGACCCTGTCTGTTTTGTTTGAAAATTAAAATGACTAACTTAATGGTTAAAATTAAAATACATTCGCAACAAATTTTTGTGTGGAGGTCGATCTCATTCCAGCCAACTTTTCTATCTGTTCAAAGGAACTGTAACTCCTCCTGTACTACGAGCAATTAAATCTTATAGTTGCGGAACAATATCACAGACGGTGATATACCTATACTCAAAACAACAACTGACGTGAAATAAAGCTAGATATAAGCTTTGTCTATGACGTTTTCCGTCATAAATGGGACCCTGGATACGGAGGCAGACGGTGCTTGGGCCCCATTTACGGGGCTAGTCTCTGGCGTGTGTGTGGGGGGTCGCAGTTTTAAAATATTGTTGTTTTGAATATTGGGCTCAAAAATGATTTGTAAACTGTTATTACACTACTGCAAATCCAAAATCGAGGACGCACACCGATTCATCCATCCAAGACAAGATTTTTGGGAGGATTTGTTTGGCAGAAGCAAAGGTTTTGGAAATTCCTTAATTACGTAACCTTTTCTGGCCTGAGAGGAGGGAACTTGGTACATGGTCTATAGAAAGAGCTGTACATCTTTCTCCCGTATTTATTAAAATCTGCCCATGGTGGAGGTTCCGTGGACCCCATTGCTCGCCCATCCACTCACCATACACCGGTGAATCGTCCTTAATATTACAAGTTCAAACGACAATACCATATAACACAACACTGAAACATACTGACGACTAGTGAAAAGGGAAAAACTGAGTGTTTTTCATCACTTACCCGTAGAATACCAAATGGTTAAACAAATGAACAGGTACATGGAAGCAATCAATGCCACACCCAGTTTACACCAATGCATAGCACCCATGATTATCATGGAGTTTAGAAGACTTGTATGTTAGTGACGGTCCGGGGCTATGGTGAAAAGGATAGTATCTGATCCTAACTCGGTGTTGTTGCAAGTCATATTAGGCGATGACTGAGACACTGCTCAATATGCCACTTGGATTTTGTTAAAAACCACTGAGCCGTTGAAGGAGTTGTGGACATAGGCGTTGCCAGGATTCTTCCGTGGGGGGAAGGGACAACGCACTCTTTTCAGTAGTGCTTTCAGGGGAAGTACTCAGCAACAAGTTGATAAACCATTAAAAGTGGAGATAAATCAATTTTCAGGCCTCTGTTTAATTGGAGTTTTCATCCCCTTGCATACATCTCTCTCTCTTCATTACTGTTGTTTTTTTTTCTCCGCTTTCTTTTTTGAGGGGTGGAAAAACCACCCCTTGCCACGCCCATGATAGTCGATATTATGTAATCAGCTTACCAGGCTGTACAGGTTGCTTTGGCGAGTCCGAAGAAAAGAGGCTGAAGTTATTTGGTTGGCTGAGGTATCAGCAGTTCCTTAACCATACACACACAACAAAACCACCGCTGGATACCAACTGCATACCGGCACTTCGACTGTGTTACGAACTGAATCATGCTTTCATTGACAAAAATTGCTCGTACTACGCACTCATTACCGGAGTGCCCATAATTTCCATAAAGGTGCATGATTATGTAGCAAAAGGTATCCCCGACCCCTATGTCTTCTGGTGTTGTAGGAATCTTGGGAATGCCTTACAGATTATCAAGGGGAATGCATAAGCTCATTCGTTACACTGGTCTTTGCCATTTTTAGTGCTGGGTTTCACCGTGCTCATGAGTGCCCTTAGGTCACGACATTTCCCCTCTCCTCCAGAACTTGAAAGTTGTTTAAGTACTGTATCCCCCTGAATGCCTTTTTTGGAGTTTTAATTGGAGATGTGCTTCCAACTGGTCAGCTAAATTTTTATGTTTAAAATTAGTTATTGTTTGGAACCCGTAAACTATAACAGAGACATCGTAACACCAAAGTTCACCCTAAAAGCCGGGTTATTTTGGTCCATCTCACTGAACCGGGGGTGAATTCCACCCCCCTCTTCCAGAACTTAGCTGTTCCTCATTGATGCAGTCATTTAAAGTTCAAGGCTACTAGATTCGTGCCAGCCCGCGTCCCTTGAGCTCCGCAGTGGAAAAGGTGTAATTTTTTGCTGAACTGTAAAATACGCGCTGCGAAAGAACGGTAGCTTCGATTTTTACAAACTTGGTGTCAAAATGACAGCAATGAGCTACTCCATAAACTACCGAAGGCTGAACTTCTGATAAAAAAATGCACTGCGGCGATATCGGTAAAAATGCCGAGGGGGGTCCTCCCCGGCTCTTTTAGGGTTAACGAAATAACGATAATCATCATCCATTCTATTTCAAAACAATGGTAAAAGGACACAGGCTAACAAAATAAAAAAGATCTCATCGCATTGTCCCCTAAAGATTCCATAGGTACATCATCAAACAGCAAGAGTTATGCGCCGTTTGAATGTGTAGCCAATGAGGAATGTACCACAAGGTTCCAGCAGTGACGTTATAACGGGAAGGATAGAGGGCGCATCGATATACGTATCCACCACAGAGATTATGCGTTTTATTATGTCTGTGTCCACCCCTCCCCAGTGGAGTGTGCCCTTATTTGAAATTTCTAGATGAGCACAATCCACTGACGGTGGAGACACTCACCAAGGGCTGTGCCGCCCACCCCTAAAAAAGGAGAAATTGTATTTGGTTTTTGAAACTTGATGAGAATAAAAAGGGAGTTCGGGGACCCTTTCATTCTCTTGTTCTAGATGTACCTTCTACAGAGTCAGGCCATTATAAGCCACAGTTAATTTGTGTCCATTGAAAAACTTTCACTGTCACAATTTCTACCTTTATTTTCATTATCTGTTGTTTTAGACTAACAGGCTACCCACATTACGTACCTAACGCTAAGTGATGTAACTGAGCCAGAGATGCGGTTGTCGGACCACTCTTTATGGTAAAAATCAAATTGCCATCTCGTTAGTTGTTGAGCTTTGTCCTTCACTATTATTATTTCGTCTTGCCCAGGTGATATTTTGTGTTTCAGATGGGGGGGGCTGTGTGTTCCATCTGGCAGGCAGGGCCGGCCATGTTAAGCATTGAGCAAGAGCGCCCTCATTTGACTGTACCGAGTCGAAGACTCTGCTGACGGGCAGGCTGATGATGCTGATGCAACTGCAAGTGCTGAATTTTCTTGCCAAGTTGTCCGATATGGTAGTCATACATGTAGGCCTTTGTTGAATACTGTAGATTTCAATACTTTAAGACATTTGACTTCCTTTTTTAAGTGAATTAGGGCCAACAGTAGACCCATAAACAGGGCCCGACGAAATACTCCTCCGTCGTATACTTACTGTGCCCTATCCTGATTCATAGGGATTTCTTTTGAAAAGATTTATCCGGGATATCTGGGGGCATAACTAAACATGCGCTAGATTTTATGAGCTGAAATTGCACCGGTATGTTCACTACTTACGGGGTAAACTTTCCTCTACATTGCTAATTGCAGAAAACTCGCCTTTTTCTCGTTTAGTGGAAAAAATGTGGCCTTTTTTTTCGCCGTTTTCCCACTCCGGACGAATTTTGTACATTACACAGACTGCTTTGTATAGTTAAGTAATGGTAGCCTGTATGAGCGCCTGTCTAGTTTGCACCCAGACTTCAGCAATTACGAATTTCGTTCAGATCTGCGAGAGAACCTGTCTATCTAAGTACTCTATGACTCTTATGTTCATCTTACTCTCCGCATGCTTTCCATATGCTTCAGATGTCCTAGAAGTAATCACCATGGCAACTAAGTTAGTTCAATGGATAACAGCCTTGGTCCTCTTTGCTAGCATATGGTGTGCCTTTGTGTTTGATTTGGTCCCCATTCAAGTGGATGCCAGGATGAAAGAAGTCATTGTGCCGGTAAGTTTGGGGATATTTGTTTGTGTCATGTGTGCCCAATCCTCCCATGTGCATAGCCAATCAATACCAGTAAAACAGAAGTTGGTAGATGACAGACAGATCCAATTTTCACAATCACTTCAATACAAATTGTCAAATCTGTTTCCTCTGCACAGTTATATTAATGAAGACGTGAGACTAATGACAACTGAAAAAAAGTAGGGAAGATACCCTGAAGACTCATGTGATGTTATTTACAAATCTTTAGCTACATTGTATTCGTTTCCAGAAAATGCAAAATTTCAAATCTGTTCTTTGATTTGAAAGCCATTTAAATGTACTTCTGATACTTATTTCATGTATTGTGCATCTGCTGTGATTACAAGTCCACTTCCACCAGCAACACATAAACAGGCTTATCGGAAATCATTCAACGTGGTGCATATGTAGACATTTCAGTTGAAATGTACAATCAGACAGGCTTTAAGTTTATGAACTTGTGTGCACATGCAGTGTTTTCATACCACAGGAATTTGGTTTCTTTGTAAAAAATATGCCACCTCTTGTCCTTTCACAGAGCAGATTGAGCCAGACTTTATAGTCAGCACAATTCCATGATGTCACTGATGCATCATTTTGTATTTCATTAATTTCTCATGTTTCTTTACTTTGGCAGCTGCCAGTTTATTTACTGATAGTCTTTGCGGTAAGTAACATCTTGGAACATCTATTCAGAAAATAAGTTTTGTTTAATATGTAAATGATTTATACCACATTTACCTGCTGAGGAACAAATGCCTTCTTCATTATTGTTCTAGTCAAGTTTCAGTACGACTTCTGGTCAAGAAAATTAACGTACATCACCAGATAAATTAGTGGCAGTTCCAGCATTTATTCCCAAAATGGAGGGGAGGTGAAACTTGGAGCATTGTTTTGCTCATCAAGGTGCAGTTTGTGTCTTTGAAATGACTGCATGTAAAAGAACCAGATAACAAGAAGAAACGGTCAAGAAAGACCATGCGTGCCTTCTCCATTATCTTGATCTGATGTTTTGAATCAAACCAGAAGTCATAAGATGGGAAGAATTGACCAGTGTTGTGTAGATGTCAGTCTTTCATGTTCTCATGATTGTATTCAATATCTTATGCAGTGTTTTTCTCTAGCAACTATCGGCTACCGAGTAGCAACATTCAATGATTGTGAAGAGGCAGCTGAATCTCTGAAAAAGGTAGGACCCAAACAAATCACAATACCTATCAGGGGTGCACAGATTCTAAATTTGAATTTGAATAAATAATCAAAACTGTTGCTAATAGGAGTCACATTCCCATTTACTACTCATTTGATTAAACCGAAGCCTCCGGATTGTGACATGGATTTTGTCAACTTCTGCCTTCTGTAGAAATAATATTTAGCTCAACAGTTGACTGTGAACCAAGTTGATAATTTCTCTGTGCTGATAAATCTTGGTCCATAAAGCATCGGGGGAAATAACCAAAACATGAATGTAGTTGGTTACATGTGCATCTGCCCGTGGAGTTGCTTCCTTGAAGAGTGTCACAAATAGATGACATTTAAGTTATATGCAAAGGGAAGGAAGAAATCTCCATGACACATCTCTGCTATTACGGTCCTCTTGTGAAGATGTAACCCCATCATTTCTTCATTTTCTTTGCTGTTTTTCATTTCCAGGAAATTGAAGAAGCAAGAAAAGATCTGAAGAAGAAAGGTTTTAGATTTACGTGATGGCTGACAGTGCTCGGTTAGGCTTTCTGTTTGTTATTCAACAGACTTAATTTGTAGGGAGGATCTGTCTATTGGATGACTCTCTTAATATATTGTCCAACAAGTTTTAGGATCCTTCAATAAAACACAATGGTTAATGGCTGCTGTGTATGCTTTACAAAAGATAATTTAGAATATTTGTAAGACATAAATGGTGGTCAAAGTTGCTTTATCACTAATGTCATCACATAAAAAAAATATGGCTGTATTTGAGCTTTTGGGGTCAGTGATTATTTAAAAAAAATAAAAGGTAGTTGTATGTACCAACAAAAAGGTGTCATTTTTCCCCACCAGCCACAACTTTTTGTTTCAGTACCTTTCTGTCAAATTTTCAATGTGGTTGACTTTTTGTGTCTAACAAAAACCTGCAGCTATAAATACTTGAACTCCATTGGATTGGTGACAGACAACTCCCGTACTTTCTGAAAGTATTGGCGGTTGACTAAAGATAATCCAACTACCATCTGGGCCATCTCTATTTAAAAAATGCCTAATGAATAGAATGAAAATCACAAGTTAGACACAGGATATACTTATCAGCATCTTCTTTTAATCTTGTCAACAAAGGCCAGTTCATGCATGCATGAGAGTATGGATGTGTTATCAGTAAAAACCGTCTGGTTGGGAACAAATGTTTCCAGGGAATTTTCATACATGTAATTCTATGATTTAAAATTAACAGGGCCATATGCAAATGGACCTAGAACATAATGATGTCACACTTTGTTCACATGTGATTAACTATGGAGCTCCACGGATGGTGTCCCACTTCAGTGCCATAGGAAAGCACACACTAGAATAAAGCCTGGCATCATGTTATGGGTTTACTGACTTAACTGGGGGATATAAGGAAAACAAGTCGATGGGAAATGAATGAATCTATTACCTACTGGCTTCTATTGATGTACATGCTGGTTCTAGCCATAGCCAAGGAATTAAGTTGTGGATTTTCTGGAACTACTTTTATGTTAGTTCGGCCATTTGCAACTTCACACAAAATAAAAACCAGAAGTTGTCAGTTCTGTTGTTGAATTTCATGCATTGTACATGCCACTGAATAAATCTCTCAGGATGGAAAATGAATGTCCACACCCCTCAATGGGGTTGCCAAACTATGACATATTAACGTATTTAAAGCTTAATGTGTACCCTTAAGTAAATTCTAGTTAAGTGTCTTCTTTAAGAGACTGGATTCATCAAAGGGAAAACACAAAGCTGAAATTTACAGAATCACTTTTCAATTTTGCACAAATCATACCCAGGTGTATCTTCGCATTGACAGAAGTTTACATAAATTCCACCAATAGATAGCAAATGACAATAATAGCGTTTTGTTCATCTTAAGAGCGTTATATGGGAAGCCTTTTTATAAAGTAAAAAAATAACAAATAGTAAATAAATTGAAAAACGAGCTTCTTTACAGTGCACTGATTGCAGGACATGATTCTCACACATACTTTGGAACGCGACAATGTGAAGTTGCCCATCATTCCAAAACAAAGGTGCACAATACGAGAGATTCACAATAGTGCGCCTCCAAGAGTTTGCAACGCATTGACCAATCACAGTGCGCGAAAGTTGTCGACCCAACGCGCGTTTGGAAAGGGTCGACAAGTTTCGCGCACTATGTTTGGTCAACACGTTGCAAACTCTTGGAGGCGCACTATTGTGAATTGCCTTTATTACAAACTGTCGGGGAGAAAATTACAGTGATGTACGTGTATACATAAACAACGCACACTCTGAAAAGTGAGGAATTGTCACACAACTAAATCATCAACTCCAGTCTCATTTTGAATGGTGGGTTACTACTGGCAACCAAACTGTTCCAGGAAAATCTGTGGAATTTCACAAGGGCAATCTGCCTCAAGAAATTGTGCCCTCTCTTGGTCCAGCTCAAGAAATTGCGCCCTCTCTTGGTCCAGCTCAAGAAATTGCGCCCTCTCTTGGTCCAGCTCAAGGCCCATCCAGCTCTATTCAACATGTAGATTATATGCAACAATTACAACTTCAGATTATTTCACAAATGATATCACAGTCATTTCTCTTTGGCTAAACATCAGGACAAATTTAAATCTACTTAAGATTATAACATGATCAAACTTTACTCACCCTTCTGCTTATTAGACATCACAAAGTACTGACAAAACACAAAATGCACAAGTGTAATGAACACACAAACATGCTGTGTGCAAAAATATAGACATCCCTCTCTATATATAGACAACCTTCTCTTTACATCTGACATAGTATGTACATAAGGAATGCACCAATACAAGTACTTTTATAATGCACATAGGTACCTACAGGCAAAACTGACACTTTTAAAAACCACTTTAAAATACGGTGTTTCATGAATTCCTGGTTCACTTCCATTATTTCAGCTTAAACGATGACTTCACTTTTTATAATTTATATACGTAAACAGACGGGCAATGATTGACACCAGCAATTTTATGCACCGTCACTGTCTTGGCGCCCACTGTGTTAAAAAATGTGCACCTATGCAATGCAAAGGACAAAATGCACATGTGGCTACAGTGTAAAGCTTTCTTCTATTATAAAGCATAGCTTTATCAGTGAATTCACTGGTTATTACACATGTAATCAGTATTAACTGAATTTATGCCCAAAAAACCCACTACCCTCCTGACTATGACAGTCATAAAAACCTCCCTTTTTAGAATTAAATTGGTCATCTTATCCATGGCATATAGTTGGGTCATTGATCCCAACACTGTTGAACACGATGACTGAATACATGTATTGAAAAAAATAAAAGTAAGCAAATTAAACATGCAGCAATATTGAATTTGAACGTTGAAGTTCAGACAAATTATGACATGTTCCAAAGCCGCAACATTGGAACATGACCCGTAGCACAAGCCACAACAGACTTTTGCTAAGTCCATTCTCAAAGTCTAGCCACTAGTGACATACAATGAACAATGACAAAGGAATATGCTAGAATGTATAAATTTGAATGCTGGTGGTCCTATAATGGGGTGGCGCTTTATGGACTGCCCAATTAATGAGGCCCACTTTGACAATCATTCATCTGCCAAGTGAGGAGACTGGATAAATTTGACTTTGGCTGCATCCGAATCTCTTGTCTAGAGCTAGGTCTAGGTCTTCGCTCCATTCGCTCCTATGTCTCTATGCAAACGAATTCTGGTATACTAATCAACTGATACAGTGCTTTATACATGTTTATGCAATCTTAATGAAATAGCATACCTACAGAATTTCAAAGTATATCCATGCCTCTGCCGAGTACTGAAAGAAGAGTGTTTAAAGTCACACTAATACCTTAATACAAGGTGTGCAAGTCCAAAAGGTGAGAAATCATAGGGATCTATAGCGTGCCTACTTTGGTATCATTTAACATAATTATTTCAATATCACACAGTGCTCAAAATTGTAAGCTACAGACAGCATTCATTTTCACACCACACTTTCCAACTCTTTGCCTAAGTAGTTTTTGTCAAACAGTGTTAAGAAGCATGTACTTATTTTCCTGTTCAAGAGAGCGTTACTATTTTTAGTCAATACACTAACTCACTTGTGGCCCAGAGTTTCATTACTGAATCATGACAATTGGTGCTTCAAGAATACAATATGGAGGGGGGGGGTTACAATCACACCTTTACAGGATGTACAAGTTTGCTAGACTATGACGCTTTGGAAAAAGCTTTACTCTTTTCATCCAAATTATGAATAGATATTTCACACATGCCAATTTCAGCAAGGCTACTCTTTATCAAGAAAAATATATCTACAATTTGAAAACAGACATTTTCTTGTTAAGTAAAATCTTTGTCTCCCAGGACAAAGGGACTCAAGTGTTCTCGTAAATAAAACAAAATTTCAAGAACGTGACAGTTAAAAGATTTCAAAATATAACTTAATGTATTTAACTTTTAAAATTTAACTAGAAGCATTTAGACTTTGCTGGAATACCTAGAGTAATCTCGAACCCAAACAAACACAGTATAGTAAATATGGAGCTCAAAAATACTACGCTTAAATAAAGGGAAGTTGATAACTGCGTTTATGTGGCAATTTAACTGAACCAAATTGCCACACAGCACAGTATTATGACTGAAGATCCAGCTCACCAATGTAAACTTGAAAACTGTATTGATTTATCTGTTCTTAAGAATTCAAGCTAAAAACCTTACATTTAATTTTTTTTTTCATTTCTACTTCTTTCTGTGTCCTGTTTTGTGGAAGACATCTCTAGTTTCTCTACAATGGTCAAAGGTCATAACAAATTTGTTCACATTGCAGCATAACACTTGTTCCACCTGGACTGCACCACACAATTTGACAGGTCAGAATTCTACTGTTTTCAGGAATTATCAGTGGTGTTTAGATTAGATGCTATTGGCTGACATGCAAGTTTGTGTTGTACTCAAGTTCAAAGGTCAATTTTTAATCTGTAAATAGTTATACTAATTAGAACTGCCCCTCTCTATCCTGGCTAAATAGCAGCACATTATGATGTCAATTTCCAATTACTGAGGCCTCCTTTAAAGGTCAAGCATGTACGGATTCATACAATGATCTGAGTGTTTGTGCTTACGAAAGTTCTACCATGTTTGGACTGCCAATGTTGACACCTAAGAGAGATATTGAGAAATTCCCCAGCTGGCACAGGTGGTGATGTGTTTATCAACTAGCAGTCATGTTATTCTGACGGAGTGTGCATATACACTACACCAATTTACCTCGGCTTTCAAATGGCCAAAGAGGACGGATCAAAGCGGAATAATCTTTACAAAAAATTCAGTCTTTGAATGTTGAAATTGCTGCTAGATTGAGAGACGAAACATTTTCAAATGAAAGCTGGATCATATGCAAAAGCCTTGGAATGCATGTACATGTCTCATGCTCAAAGCATACAAACCACCAGCATGGGTATGGTAGAGGGGAGAACATAACTCATTTCAGTCTCATCACATGGACTTATGGGTTTTTGCTATTTAGAACTCTAACAAGGGAAACATAAAGGATAAGGTTGTGACCTGATACATTTCCAAGGCTATGTACTTATAAAGCATGGGTTGTTAAGGCCAGATTAATTCCCTATGTTTCTTTCTTATCTTCGCCTATCGTGGTGGTAATGGGTATCTTCTCCAGTGGGATTTGTTCAGGTGACCCTACCACCAGATAGGCTTTGCGGGTGTCGGCTAGGCTGGTGAAATACTTGGAATGGTCGGCCAGAGGTCCCTGTGATTTGCTGGTGATGCAGCAGGCTCGACACCACAAGATGGCATTCTGGGCCTTCTCCACGGCTGTAAACAGAGGGAAAAAGCAATTCTGTATCACTGAAGGTTTTGCTAAATTGTGGAGGTACCGACAAATTGGAGATGTGTTGATCTTAACAATCTCAACATTACATTCCTAACATGAATACACTTTTTGCACACATCTACTGGAGTAATGCACATAAGAAATGCTAGCCTTGAAAATAACATTTATTTCCCTATTCTGCCTGCCAAAAAATGTAAAAAGAGCACTAATAGGAAAATGAAGTCAAGAACAGGTGGCAAAACGTATGGCATGCCATAAAAAAATAAAACACATAATGATATATAAAACAAAACAGGCTACCATTAGGAAACATACGCTATAAAGTTTATATACATCTAAATCCAAAAATGGAGTAATTAATGGGAAGATTGGGAAATAAGGAAAATCAACAGGAGATCGGTTTAAGTGGATTGAGTAATATACAAATTGGAAGGCATAATACATGTATAAGGTATAACTTCAGTTTATGGTTTACATTACACACTAATTAGCCTCGATGGAACAGCACTTGACTTAAGAGCCTTTTCAAGCATTATGCTTTGAGCATTCATATTCCCTCAAAGATGACACAGTCAGGTTGGATGGGCAAATCAACACAGCTCGTTATGAACCCAACATTTATGTAAGCATCTCAGAACTGTGCATGTTGATACCAGTAGTTATAAAATACTCATGCAATATGTACATGTACCTCATGGAGATAAACAAGTACACGTACACATATGCAGTGCATCAGCCTAAGGGATATAAGCAGCATAGCGCCCTCTCTCATCCATGCATGAAGCCAATGTGAATAATCCATGTTATCGTTTTCTTATGCATATCTAGTGCACATCAAATAGCCCGATCATTTCCAACAAAATGAGAGACAACATAACTTGTACATGTACTACTTTTCCCGTTGAAGAGTGAATGATTCGCATGGTCTTCAACACAGATTCCCTCCCCCCGCCCCAGTTTTCACTTCTTAAAGGAGATAATGTCTTGTCCAATCTCAGGTCAATACCACCGTGTTTACCACAATGGGTTCATCCAGCTTACATTCCTCTCACTGAACCTTGAGTTTTTCTTAGAGACTACATCCCTCTAATGATGCTCGGAGTAGTCCATCTCCTCTCCTCCTCTAAGAAGGTTAATCCCAGCTTTACTGGAATTGGCATTCCACATCATTCCAGCTTCTAGTTCCTTAATCTCTCGCCCACATCCACCAGCAGACATCTTCCCACAGTAACACTTCACACCCTCTCCCCCCCAAAAAATAAACTGATCCCCAAAACAGAAATATAAGTGGATGTATTTGCACAAATGGAAAAAAACAAAACCAACAGATTAAAAATTGGAATGATGCCACAGGATGGACTTCGACAATAGTCAATAAAAACTAAAACTGAGAGTAATTTATGTTAATGATAAATTCTGACCTCTTTATGTTCAACATAAAGGATCAAGAAAGAAGTAAAATGGCCTATACTTCAAGATTAAAATTTACATCACTCTGACAATTTGCATAAGTTGTAATGAAACCCAAGTTGTACATATGGTGGAACGGAAAAAAAAAACGGTTGAAATTCTCACATTAACTGACTCCCAGAAACTTAGCAAAAGGAGAAAATTCAAAGGGCATAATTCAAAGGGCCTCTGCTAAATTCTGAATCAACTTCATTCTCTTCAGAGTCTGAAAACTCTGGTTTACAGTTTCAAAAGGGAAGAAAGACATATCTGTGAAATTATAATACACCAAATTACCCCTCAAACACAATCCTGCCAACAATTACCAGGCAAACAGAAAAGCAATTTTCCTTTCTTACCTGGTACTGTCTTTGGGAAGTGACCGACGATGATTAGAACTATGAGCAGAACGACGCCAACGATACTCACAGCATGACAGAATACAAGGAAGATGTATGGTTGAATTGGGAAGAAAACCTACCAAGAAAACAGAACAGACACTGACTCAAGTTAATTATTTACGTTTATTATGAAATAGGCAAATTAAATTACTTGACTGCTGCTTTCAATAGGAAATAACTGAATCTCCCAAAAATGAGGATTTGAATTTTGTAATTGCAATGGTATTATCACTTTAATCCTTTGGCTCCCTCAACTGAAGAAAATTTATCACTTCATTTAAACTGGGTCATTGAATTAAATCCAGGGATCAGAGAAACTAGACAGTAGGCGATAGGTCTCATGAGAATTGAAGTGCACTGTCAGCCCTTCATGATTCATGGTTTTTCATGCTGCAATGCTCAGACTAGTTGCTAATGAAATGATTCACTCCTCCATCATGTAAAAGTTTTGAAGTTGTAAGGCGGGCAAACCAGTTTTGAATCAGGTTACAAAAACATTGTCTGGCAATGAATGGCATAATGCCTCAGGCTCTTGCTTCCACAGTCTGCTTGATGCATCTGACGCTTCTGTCCACAAGACAAGCTGAGCCGGCTTTGACTGCAACCTTCACTTACCCTGCCAACGATGACCGGAAATGCCATTTCTCCCGTAGCAGCCCCTATCACAACACAGCTGGTCACAAACCCTAACAGAGACAAACAAGACAAGAACTGTTTCAAGCCAGCTATTCTTACGATGAGGCTACATTGCTTTAAGTTAAAATGTGCTTTTTCTCAAAATCATAAAATCCAAAAAGCATTACTAGTAATTAAAAGTCATTCAGCAATTTTATGTGGGCAACAATGTCAAACATACCATGTTAATGTTTTAATTTCCCAGTAGTCTGATTGGCATAGGGCCATTTTCCAATACTCAACTTCGGCTCCGTCTCAGGCTTCAACTGTTTTTGACTAGCTTACATTGAAGCTTTTAGCGCAGTGATCAGTCTAATAGTGCCACAGACCATCAAATAAGATGTAAGAAAGCCAAAAATTACAGTAATCCAATGTAATATAAACACTTCAGGCCCACAATCGGGGATTGGTTTTGGGAACGAAGCCGGAGATTGAGACCAAGTTGAGTATTGGAAAACAGCCATAGTTCTCAGTAAAACATAGAAGTCTCTGTGGAGAAGATGGGATACTAGTCCAGTCAGCAATATTTCAAAAACAGCTTTTTACCTGTCATGTGTATGTACTGTTCGGCCAAGGCGATAACTGTAGGATAGACGCTGCTTAGCGATAAGCCAAACACACCTGATGTAATGAAGACGACTACGTAATTGTCTCTCATACACACCAGCAGGGTCAAAGCACCAAAACAACCCATCTGGGGATAAAAAAAATCCACAAAACATCTAAATTTTGTGATATTATAGGCATGTTTAATGTTCGAGGTCTTAACTCTGTAGACACAAAATAAAAACTTCTTATTTTGTAAGTCTTGCCTTTGGGGGATAAATGAATTGGAGTGTTGGTCAAAGTATATTTAAAAACAAGGAAAAACAAACAAATAAATGAATGAATAAGGAGCTACTTATACTCGGTAATTACTGTAATGTTTTTACACAGTCTGACCGATAAGTTACTTCTGAATCACAGCTCAGCGGCAATCTTGCCATCGGGGAAGCCAAGAAAAACAGATTTGTGAGGTTCTTATCTGATTTGAAAGATCAGGGTTTTCTGCGGTCTCAATAGTGACAGAAGATAATGGTGCTCCCTTGAGGAAGCATACTAGCTAACGGGATGAAATATTTAGAGGTTTTTTCCCTTTCAGAAAGTGCTCTGATGTCAAGACAACAGGGCTAAGAGGAAGACAGAGTGGTACTTCATCCTTTTGGCCAAACTTTCTTACATTCGTAAAAGCAAGCTGGGATTGGGGCCAGAATTAAGGCACAACCGTATAAATCATCACAAACAACTGAAATTGGCAGATTGGTTTACAGAATTCTTCTCATGGACAAAAGAACATGTTTGGGAATAAAGCCAGTTCAAATACGACAGATTTGGATGAATTGGTCAGTTAGAACGGAGCTGATGCTTCACTTTTAACAACAATGTTGGTAATCCTTTCTGATTTGAAAACATCCAAAAAAGAAGCCCTTGTAAAAGTACTGACTTGGATTTATAATTTCTCATAAGGGAGTGCCTGAGGTGTTTAGTTTTGATTTTTTTTTCTGAAGGAGTGGCTAAAACACTGAAGTCTATACAATGGCTGCAGTCTTTAGGCGGTGACTCAATGTAATAGATGTTGATTGACATCATTCTGGGAAAGAAAATGTGGGTTTCTGTGGGTGGTAAGTCAACTATTCTATCCAAGTATATCCATCATTTCATTTGCTACTGTATGGGACCACTTCTGTGTGACAGTCACTTGGAACAACACCCAAAACAATTAATTCTTTCGATCAGTAAAGGCGGTCATTGATAATGTCTAGTGAGACGTAACTGGATTCGTCTATGGATCTGTGATTGGTGAAATTTACATTAAAATGTGGCACCATCCTATGTTGATGTTATGAGGGCGACAGAGTCTTGCCTATGGGTCACCAGAAAAGGATGGCTCCAGCAAAAGCAGCATGAGATACTCTCTCTGACTTTTTTTGAAGCAATTAAAGATATCTTATTTAGCACATAATTAAGTGAGATTTCCTGCGTGGGGCGACTGTAGCTAATCTGTTAAGACTCACCAAGTTGCACATAAGCATGGCTCCTGGCGAGAGCTTTGTGGAGATGGGAATGGAAATAAGCCTGCCCAGGGCAAAACAACCCCAGTAGACGGATGTAATGTAAGCACTATCTGTAGCTGATAGCTCAATGGCTGCATTCTTCATCGCGTAGGCGAAGATAAAACCACCATAAGCAGCCTGGAGGCAAACAGGAAAGAAGAGAACGGATGGCTTAAGGAAAAATGAGTCCAGATAAAGTAAGGTTTCAAGTAGCTATATTGAAATAATGGGCTTAGTTCATGCCATCAACAAGTTACATATGTGTCAGATTGAAATGTCACCAACAGTGAAGGAAATAAAAATCATGACGTGGAGGATTTTTGTCAAAGGTCTATGACTCGAAAACTTCCACTTCCCATCCAATCCTACATTCAGGAGAAAGCATGCCGAAACCATGTGACAATTGGTAACATTCCTTGTCACAATGGAAGAGGCAGGGTACCATACATTATTCACATTTACAAGTAATTAGCAATGGATTGACTAAAACGTCAACAGAAATGATCGATTACAGTAAACCCTAAAAATTCCTTCATCTTATTTGACTGCACTGAAAAAGATCATACAAACAGAGGACCATTAATTCTTTATCAAATTGAATCCTTGACAAGAAACCCCCCCCTCCCCAATTACAACCTGACACAAAGTAACAATGGAAAACTTAACCAGTAAAAGTTGTCACTTGACCTTTCAACTACAACAACTCAAACCACATTTTAGACAGCCCAGCTTGTAACATTTCCAAAATATCCTTGCTGCTGAGATGCTGCTTGCCAGCAGATTTGAGGAGATAATTCCAAGGAAGCATGGCTTGACTTGTTGCTATCCTTCAACTGCATAATAATTTGCAATGCAAATTGCATAGAGAGGGTGACAGACCATGATCCAAACTACTGAAAGGAGTCTGTCTGACTCTTAAGGATTGATGATCACCTTGGGTTGAACTGCTAAATCTGATCACAGAGGTTATGTGAGCTGTCAAGATAATTACCTTGCTGCAATGGATGTTTCTGGGCAGAAAAACCTTGTCACTAGGTTGTTTGGACAAACTTTGAAGGATGGTTTAAAACTACCATTACAGTGTCATTTGTCCAGAATGTAACATACATGCATAATTATTCCCAGGCAAATGGAGGGTGTCCTTAACCATTTAGTGATGCAGCTGAAGAAACTCCATTGTTAAGCAGACTTCATAACGACAAAACATGAACATTTAAGGGCAAAATTCTAAAACGTGTCGAATGCTGTAAAATACTTTCTGATGTGATTCAGTTCTGGTGGTATGTTACTGAATACTCAGGGGTGATATTGACCAATAATAAAAATAGCTGAAAATAGCTGAAAGGCATAGAGAAGCTGAACTGTAAAAATCTCCTACACTTTTGTACACAGCCAGTGAGGAAAAAAAGCTGAAATCCAAAACAGAAAAAAGTAGAAATCAGCTAAAAAGCTAAGAAATCTCACCCCTGAATACTTCAATCACAAAAAAATTTTTAAATTGTCACATCCTGGATTTCACAAGATACCAACTACACATGTACCAAATAATTCATTGCTATAATCCACAAGTATCTGCAAAAAGTGACTTGGTAAAAATTAAATCTTTATGTTGTCCAGCAATCCCTCTCCATGTGATGAGATATTATGATGATAACGGGATGTCTGCAGATGTTTGTTCGGCCTAGCAGATGCCAAGGTGATTAATCAGACATCTTACCTGTAGGCCATCATAAAGGAACAGCAGTGAAGATGACAGTAGAGTGACTGAGATGACTTTAGAGTGGCCTGAGGTGCAGCAAGGACCTGTCTTGTTGCCTTGGCTTTCCTGAGCTGCGCTCCCTACCTCATCTGCGTCTGAATGAGACAAGCAAGAAAAACAGCCGGGGAAATAAGAGTCAGTTTTTAATTTTCAACCACTTAGTGATAAGGTGAGTCTGTACTGACAAACAGTCAAAATTCTGATAACCAATCTCATTCTGTTTTTTTTAATATACTGTGATGTACGAAGACCATTAGCTTTTATCAACAGTTTCAATCTAATATTCTGCGAGTGTGGGAAAAGTTCTTGATTAATTTCATTCAATGTGTCATCATTTGCAATTTAATCTCAGTTGAAATCATGAATTACATACTGGGATTACAATCAAAGGAGTTTGAGGATAAAAATGGTTTAAGGAAGCTATTTTTAGTTGGTAAAATCTCTTTCTAATTCTGACTTCAATTATTAGGATTATTCTGTCACAACTGCAATGCAAAATTTACATATTTACAAATACATGTACGTGTACACTTTACTTGTAATTTTCTTTTTCAAGTCAGGGATTCAATTCAAAAAGCTAAGTTAACAAATTGTAAACCCACTTTGATGCAACAACAATGGAGATGTTGTTAGTAAAGATCATGTTGAAAATCTACACATTTAATGGGTAATTGATTGGATTAATCATTACCTAAGGGTTTGAAAAGATTTCAGTTCGCTCCACACATATGTGGATGACAAGTTATTACTTCAAATAGTTAATATACATCAACTCATTGTGGAATATTTTCATTCACTGAGCACCCAAGGTTTGAAGAGCTCTTGGAAACACTTGTGCACAAGGTGTACCGACTGAGTTGTAGCCTAATGACGCTTGTCATCAACTCTCACCATAAAATAGTCCCCTTACAATTAATTTATCAGCCTTCATAGCTGTACACTCAAAGACATCATACTCAGTAGTAATCAGATACTGCTAAATACCGCCCTATTTTTAGTTGGCATAACCACTAATTGTTATAATGAATGACTCTCCTTTTTAAAGTCCCCAAACTTGTTCTGTAGATGTGAAACCCACACACACACTACACAACAGTTTCTCTGTAGACCAAAAGTGTAGGGATCAGGCGTGTCAAGGTCCTTTAATACAATTTCATCTAAACTTTCCTGTCAAAGAAATCTCCCCACAGAGTGAATTGCAATGCCATAATTTACAGCCATTAAAATTAACCTGAGAGAACAGAGTTGTGAAAAACTATCAAAGAAATCCTTTTTAGGTTTTTGGCTGCAATAAAACCATGAACTGCTGAAGATTTCCAATGCAAATTCACACATTTTTCTGAAACACTTTTTTCATCCTTAAAAGATTCATTCCCGAAGTAGCTGCTAGTACCATATCAGAAGTATTGACCTCAATACTTGACTGACCTAGACACCAGATCCCTAGAGACCAGATCCCTAGTGCCCTAATGCATGTACATGAACATGTCCCCTTCAGGCCCCTCAGGGTGCAGTAATTTCTGGCCAGCTCATTAGCATTAAAAGTGCTCCCACAGTCTCTTTTGAAAAGGAGATTGTTTAATTGGCCCCCAAAATGGTGACATTGTGTAAATCTTTGCCAGAATCAACTCCCTGGGTCTTTGGGCTTTCATCTGAGAGCAGAATGGCAAAAAATACGGTAAAAAAATGGTCCTAAGTGCCCCTGAAAGTTGAGGGTTGTCACTTGAAAAATGGCTGCAAGCAGACTTCAGAAAAATCACTTTTTTGGGGGGGGGGTAATCTTGTTTTGGGGGAATAACTCAAAATGCAATTGATTAACCCACAGAAAATTGAAAAGAAATTGAAAGATTAGGGACCATAAAATAATTCAACATGTGTTTCAGATACCTCAGAGATGTTGGTACACATATTATTGGTCCCTGAACAATGCTGATTTTACACTGCTTTCAGTGGGGCTTGAATTAGTGGACTACACCCTTCAGGGCTCATACAATAAATGTTTCACACAGTACTGTGTCCCACAGAAACCCCTCCAATGGTTGTAACCTTACCTCGGTCTAGATCTTCATACATTGATCGGTCCAGTTTGCCCAAGCTGGAATCTCTACCCAATAGAGGATCCAGACATTTCTTCCTCATAAGTAAGCAAAATACCATCAGAATTATGGGTATCTGAAACAAATCCACAAAAAATTCAGATTTAGTCAGTGTTATTGTTCTGCCCAGTTAAAGTCATACAGCACTGCCAGAATCTCTGCTGCACATTTCTTTGCCCATTCAGAAAGACAAATGTTTTGATGTTAATAAAACCTGGGATGTAAAAGCATCTTTAACTCACACTGTTTCATCTATTCAGCAAGCTGTACACATTTTTCTAAACAGGAGACAAATTTACAGAGTTCTATTTTTGAAATCTGAAGCCAAAAAATGTCAGCTATAACAGCAGAACTGCCATATATTAAACTGGAAATCACTGAAAATCATATTGTATTACACAACTAACATTCTCACACAATGAAATATGGCCAGTTTAGTTTTTCCTGGTTCGCTGAACCGGCTATTTTTTTTTTGGTGTAAAGCTGCCAGTTCGAGACTCTCCGTGCCTACAAGAACACATGTATGGTGGCAGCGTGTAAAGAGCGATTGCAGTCAAAGCCAGGAAAAGAGTAAATCAAGAAAAAGCAAACATTAACAGACATCACCAGCTGCCCGTTCACCCATTGCCATCTTGAGCATGGTTTATAACCAAGGCAGTGTAAATTTGGATAATGGTTCAGCTGTGATATCATTCTTCCCTTTGAGCACAATCGCTGCCCTTCTCACTATCACCCAGCAACCCCCTTTGGCCCCACGGGCACACCTACATGTACCTCCTAGCATTTCTACAATCTACATGTAAAACTCGTAATGACATGTAAAGGGGATTATAAACAATCAGTGTGCAATGTAATTCCACAAATAAAAGGCCACCCCAACAAAGTTGACTATAAATGAACCAGTGTCACTAGGCAACAGCCAACACGTTGCCATAAATGAATACATGTACATGTACATCCAATGTCTCACTGACTGCATATTGGAATACTTCCCTAAATATGCCAAATACTGCTTGGGAAAAGACAAAAACAAAGTCTTCCCAGACACAACTTCACATCATAATCCAACTAAATAACGCCGGTCCCTGCAAAAGTTTGTTAAACTTTGTTCCAAACTGAAGACAATCTGATAAAGATTTTGGCTTCTGCAACACTATTTACTCATTATCCTAACAAATTTGGTTGAATGCTTTTGCTTCAAATTAATTAAATTCCATTTCAAAAGGGAACCTTGCAGTGTTGTAGTTGAAACCTCTTACGACCATCACAAGACACACACAACACCATCACAAGACCATTACAAGACACACACAAGACCATCACAAGACCATCACAAGACCATCACAAGACCATCACAAGACACACACAAGACCATCACAAGACCATCACAAGACAACCACAAGACCATCACAAGACACACACAAGACCATCACAAGACCATCACAAGACCATCACAAGACAACCACAAGACAACCACAAGACCATCACAAGACACACATAAGACCATCACAAGACACACACAAGACCATCACAAGACCACACAAGACCATCACAAGACCATCACAAGACAACCACAAGACCATCACAAGACACACATAAGACCACATGACCTCCAGTCTGAATTCAAGTCACAATTAAGATATTCAAATGACCTGCAACCAAAACATTCTTTTGTTACTGTTCACCTTGCTATTGGTTGCTGGTCTTGTGTTTGCTCTTATGATGACCCTATGATGGTCTAGACTACAACACAGGAACTTAGAACAGAAATCTGTTTTCATTGACCTTTATACATTACATATCTTGCATCAATCAAGAGTTGGGTTGAATTTAATACCTGTACTGCAGACATGATCCAGAAGGCATATCGCACCCTAGTGTTATTCTGGGCATCTTGCAACGTCTCTATGGAAACTGGAGGCTCCTCGGTATACTTGGTTCCCTCATCTCGTTCCACAATCGGAATCAGGGGGTCGGCGCTGGAGGAGCTGTTGTCAATGAATGGGGAACAATCCTCATTTAGGAGGAAGGGCTCAGCAATGATAGGGCTTATGAAGGCCCCTAGGCCGTAGCAGAAATGAAGTGCCTATGATTCAAGAAGGAAGCAAAATGAACAAGCTCATTAAACGTCTGACTTGGTTGGGTTTTTTTACAGAGACACTGTACATGTTGCTTTCATTTCCCAAGGTTTTTCCACCAAAAAGCAGTAGTTCCTCAGTTCGGTATTTCAACTGCACATTTACGCATCATAGGGTACCTGTACTTTTTTTTTACTAGGTGATAATTGTAATTATAGGCAGTAGGAATAGGCAGTGCCAACAAAATTAGGAATTTTTTTAAGTACATTACATGCAGAATTCTGGAAATATTGCACTGATGTTTGATGTCTCTGTAGATTTGATACATTTTGCCTTGAATACATTTTTATGCTGTGATTAAAATGAAAATGGTCAAATTGTGGTGCGGTCATGCACAATCGGAATAACACTATATATGTAGCTTTCTCAAAACCTGTCACACTTACTGCCATTTAATCATTTTTCCCAGGTAACCAGCCAAGCGTGACTAATGAAACCCAACATCAGACAATCATGATATATGAAACCAGTGAAACCACGGAGGAATCAACTTCCTCCACAGTGAAATCTACGCATGGTTTGGTCATTGCAGAATGCCGCAGTGACATCTGCTGCATTTTGATAAAACCCAGCAAATTCTTAATTCATGCACTGAACAGCTTTCATGGGCATGCATACTGGGTACTGTATTTACATGCATGTTCTCTGATGCAATGTTAGCATGAGTTTGTTGAAGAACAACAAATTTATCCAGAAATCACCTCCCAACAGTAGGAGTTATGGAATGCAGCCGGAGAATGTGGGTAAAGGCCGTTCGTTGTTCAATTACATGTAATGTACATCTACCAGTTGAACTTTTAAACAAGTATGAATCCAAACAAATCACAAATGTAAGTTTAGCAATGTGTGATACATTCAAATGAAAATTGACTTCAGTTTTTCCTTGTTAAAGCATGGCCCATCAAATAGTTTTTAAATGTAACATCTGGGAGCATTCTGTTACAACTGATACTGATTCATTTGTTACAGGTTTGCTGACGCATCAAAGATGCAGAAAAATGTTGCTACCCATATGAAATTTCGACATCAATGTTATCACTGCTTCATCCAACAGCTGACGGGTGCAAATTATCTGAACTGAATTAACTGATAACAGTGTAGTGACTTGTCAAACAGGAAATTACGTCAAATGTGTCCTTGTTGGAAATTGGACAAAAAGGGGGAAAAAGCCAGTTGTGGCAGGCAAAAAAAAAGTAATCACCCAAATGACGCAAGTATACTCCACTGCAGATAAGGAAATCAGACTCAGAGATAGCCATCTTGTTTGTGTAAACCGTACACATCAATTTCTCAAAGCCATGTGCATGACACTGCCTACAGTATAAGGATTACATTCTCTCCATCACAGCTGAGACTATTACTAGACATACTGGTACCACCTGATACCGTACCAACATTTTATTCAGTTGATAGAGGCTCTTTTTCTCCAGTTAAAAATCTATCAACGGCTCTAATTTTGAAATTTTTATGATAACCTAAAAAATAAAATTGGAAAGTTTATTCAAAGATTGAAGGATATTACATGGTATTCAGTTCGACAGAAAACCATGTTAGTGTTTTCTACTGTTCACAGAAACAAAAACCCGGGACGAATTTTTATTTTTTTCTAAATTAAACAAGCATTCTCGAGCATTCAGAGATCCTGTACTTGAAGACAAGAGGCACAGAATTCATGTAAATGGTAAGATTTATAAACGGGAACAGATGACCATAAATAAGTGGCCTGGAAAAAAGTAAATCTTGATTACATACATGTAGGAAATTAGAGGCAATATGGCCAGTTCCGGAGACCATGTGTAAATCAGTTTGATTATGCCTTCGATGTTTGCCTGCGAGGAGTGACAGTTTCCACCAATAAAAAAATAGACACTCTTGCCTATTTATGGAATAGGCTCACAATGCGTATCTATAACCTCTAGAATGTAGAAACAGAATATTCATTTGCAAACTTGAAATACAGGTAACATTAACCATTATACAAATACCTGTAGCTTTCTGTTAATAATGATTATGATCAGATGAAGCAAAAACAAATGAAAAGAGGGTTCAGAGTACAAGAACTACCGGTATGCAAACAAATACACAACTTTCTACGGGTTGGAAAACATCAAACTGAAACGATACATCAGGCAACCTGATTTATAGCCACGTACAATCCCTTGAAGCCATACGCATTAACGTACACTTATACAAAATGTACATGTACTGTACATTGACTGTTTTTGAGCACTAACTACATGAAGACAACAAGATCAAAGGTAATGAATTGGGGGTCTCATGTGACACTTACCTGAAGGAAAGGGGAGACAAGCTTGCCGTAAATCTTGAGAAGTGAGACATTGGCAACAGTGTCAATGATACCCATGAAGATGCCCATGATGGCCATGTCCATGATGAGCAAGTAGAGGTGATCACACAGAGGAATTAAAGCTATATTGGCTGCTATGATGACGGTGGCCAAGAAAAGAAGAGGATCGGGGCTAAACCTGAGGAAGAAAAGAGAAATCATAACATCTTAGTTAATCAAACCTTCGCTGTCAGTTAAGTAGGAATTGCTTTAAAAGGGACACTGTAGCCTCACCCCCTTAAGCTACAGGTATTTTCTAATGTTATGATATTAGTAAACAAAGCATAAAACCAATAAATTGCCATGGGGACACGATCAACCACCACCAATTTCAATATTTTCCACAGTGTATGCCTGAGCCACCAGCAAGGCATGCCTTCAGCACAACTTACACTCAACCCATTCCCCGTTATTATCAACCTCCTCCCCTCATTTCCCAAATGCCATATGCACCTGCTGTGGACAAATATGTGTGGCTTACATTCATGGCTGCTGCTGCTGCTTAACCAATTTGAATTGGATGAGTTCATTACAAACTATTGACAAATCAAAAATTCTTCTTAAAGTTTGCTGACCCCCAGATATTTAGAACGACAGGCAATTCACAATGTACATGTAAGTAGGCCTACAGTGTATGTATCTTCCCTCACATGTACATCCCTGCTTTTATCACTCCTGACCTCAATCTTTTTGGTCAATTGACCACCAAAATATAAAGCAAAGGAACATGAACTCTGAGTGCAATCAAAGCAATTTTTCTTGAATCAAGGTGTTAAAACTCTTTGTTCCCCTTTACAATCATCAACAGCTTTGACCACAAACAACCCAAACACACAGGTATCACTGTCAGGTACACACAGTCTCTACTGTGAACGAGAAGTCTGGCTGGCAAATAAACACATAGTACCAACTGTTTGTTTGCCTTGTTTGAAAAGTTATTCAGCTATTGATTAGCCACATATAGATTATGTAAATGTCCGTCTGATGTCTGGTGTATGTGTGTATGGATTTGCAAGGCATTTGGTATTTCGATGAAGAAACTTGGTTTCATTTTAATTTTTTTCCTTTGCAAGCATTTTCTTATTCAACAACAGATGTCACAAATGTAGATTTTGACTCCATACATGTATGTGCGTTGAGCTGAGGATATTCTCAGTGATTTTTATTAACTTTTGTTTAAATGACTGAACATGACACATTTTGAAAACTCACTCGGGGGAGTGATAAACTTTAGGAACTTCCACAGCAACTCGGCAAAGTAAAACTTTGCCTCAGTTTTCCAGAGATTTTAAGCCCTGAATTTGTTATCTCTACTTCCTGTCTGCATTCAAATCAGGAACTTCAAGTCCTATGGTAATGCATGGGATCAAAGTTTTGTGATTCAGTATTTCAGTCTGGTAAACTGGAATTACAGACTCTTAAAATTACTCCAAAGCCAGCAGTAAAAACTAAGGCTGTAGCCATGCAATGGCATGCTACAGCAAGGCAGGATTTTCAAACATGGCATATCAGTGTGCATGGCAAGTGGTAATTCATATTTTTCAATTATTGCTGAAGGCCAGTCACCCTTCAGTCCACCATAAAATCAAATCTGCAGGCTGTTTCGATTCAACTTTGACTTACATGTAATTACTTCAAAGATCCAAAGCAAACTTCTCTGAATGAACAAAACTGCATGGTACCAGTCCCAGTGCACTAACAGCTCTCTGCACTCAGTGCAACAGCTGTTGTGCTAAAGCAAGAATTTCACATGAAATTCCGAGCCAAGACACAGCAATTTTACTCAGATTACTGAAAACCACAGAAATCCTATTCCACTCAACATGCATACAGGTGCATACAAAACAAGGTACCCCATCATTCCCTTCCCCTCCCCATAGCAACAAAACAAAACAATACTACAAATAACCGAAAGAAGAATTAACGTCTTCACAGTCTGGACTGTTATTACAAACTGCAAGAATGCAACATGCATAGGGCCGGAGACTTGCACTCCAAAGTTGGCCTACATAATGTCAATTCCCCATCCCGTGACAGAAAGACACCTTCATCCGCCTAAAAGAAAGACATACTCAAGGAATATATACCGGTATATCACAGATGATCTTAACTATCAAGGTTAGGATGTCACTACACACCAAAGATGAGACTGAGATGTGAGGCATCTCGATTAACACTGACTCATCTCAGCGGAGTTTCTGGATGTGTTCAAGTTGCCATTGACAATATACGCAGAAGATTCAACACTATCCACAATCAGTGAGATACATGTACATGTACTAGTACGTAGAAACATTGGTTGGTTTGTCTAACTACTGATATACGCATAATGGTAGCTAAATATTCAATAAAATCAAACAGGCTACAAACAATGGACATCTACAAGCAATCACAATGCACTAATCACTAATTTACTTAGTAACACATTTTGGATTGACATCGAGCAGGACAAAAAACAGATGTCTAATCCTACATATTCACTTTAGCGGCAAGGTTGCTGGTACCTTGTTACACTGTCACGTAACATGCCAATGGCAAAATTGCACACTGTTTTAATTAATGTCTGATTACAGATCATTGTAGAGAAATTCAAGTAGATACCAGAACTTTTAAATGGTGTCCAAAAGGCCAGAGTTGAGTTAGATGTACTCTTGAAGAACAAACTGTTAATAGACTGAAGGATTGAGTATTTTCAAACTGAAGAAAAACAACAAACAGTGCACTATCCTATCATGTCTAAGCTTATAGCTTTACATTTAGATTGTATGTGTACTTGTTAAGCTCCAAATTCTTGTGAATTTGAAAAATCAACGGATTCTTTCATCAATGATCAACTAAAATGAAATCAATATTATTTCAGCATGATTTTTTTCCATCAAAATGTGAGAGTTATACACAATCTACCTTGTACACAAAATGTACGCAATTTTTCAGTCCAAAGTGTCACAATCTGTTGTCTTTTGTATTACATACATGTACATGGCAAGGAATACATGAAGGTCTTGCATGAAACCAGTTAGACCCAGGTTAATACAGGCTGTAAAGCTATGTACATGTACAGGTACCTCCACATTTTGTAGCTAAGGAAGATTCATTTTAGCCTCCCCCCGCCCAGGCTTCAAAGGAAGTTCTGCCAAGAGAAAGAGCGTCAGTAAGCAGAAGAAATTGAAGATGATAGAAAGATGAAGGGTATCATGGGAACGACTTCAATGGCAGTCTAGCCTGAAGGATCATTTTGGTATGCTGGAGTCGGTCTCCCAGGAGATCCTAAAACACTCTCTCTGGCAAAGGATGGAGGACGCCAGAACAGATGGAGGGTACTATGAAGAGAGATAAATATGTCGCATTCATCACTGAGATGGAAGCTGTGATAAGAACGGCTTCTCCTTGAAGTTGAAGACTACGGTGGAAAAATGTCCCTGGAGAAGACAGATGCAAGAGTATAGATAAGGGTTTCTTAATCCTGTTGATTCAGCTGATCTATGTAGAGGATAGGATAAAATTCTGCATTCATTCTTTGGCAAATGTGCAGCCTCTATCTTGTTTTTCTGCAATCCATATCAAGCTTCCCGATTTCCAGACTACTGCAGAAGTATCAGGAAACAATTCCTCACCATGTTCTGATCATCTTCCAGAGGTTTTAGTTTAAGTAAATTGTGTAAATTTTATCTTCATTCTACAAGTATATTGCAATCAGATCTTACTGCTTGCAAGACCACAATGAATTTCATCATATGTTTATATAGACGACAATACATTAAAATTCAATTCAATACAAATGAACTACACCTTTCAGGCTTTAAAAGTTAAGATTAAATATAAGATACTGCTGCATTCAAGATTTCTTTCTTTTCACTAGGTGCCATCAAGTTGTAGCTATTACCATTTCAGATCACTGCAACTGTACATGTACGTAGCGGTATACAATGTATGTACATGTATGTGAGCCCTAAACTTCTCTACGAGTCAATATGCAACAACCTTGTTAGTTGCATAGTTACCAGTCAACGCAACGCAAAGCTTTGTGTAGCGTCAGTGGAATCCTTTACTTATAAATATCAGCCAATGAGTCAGTAGAGTTTTATTGCGGCTTCAAATGCAGTGGACATTTTTTCACATATACACCTGTGGGCAAGGGGGTGACAAAATTAAGGGTCAGAGGTAAAGGGAATGACAGGTGTCTGCATATCATTAAATGTCACTTTGCTTGGTATCTAATTTATTCTTTTGCAACTCACTTCAAATTCTAGAGTAAAAGAATTTACGGAACTTACATGTACCGGTAGTAAGCAAGCATTACCACTCATTACTGCAAGTAACGGTACATGAACATGTAACAATGCGAACAGTACGTCTTGCTTCCAACCAATGACCTAATAGCCAGTCATCTGTTAAACCTTTGTCAAATGTGTCCAAAAATTCTACACTGCCCAGCAGCAATTAAGTCTAAAATAGATCACAACCTGTATCTTACCAAGCTTGAATACTGCATAGCATATATCACATGTCACTGCATGCAGTGACTTGCTTTGTGCTCCTTTACAGGCAAGTAATGTCAATTAATCCATGTACATTTATCAATAATATGAATTAATTTGAAACAGTATGCAAACGCACCAAATCAACAGGTCAACTGATGAGATTGTGAATTGTGTTGGTGTTATTTTGGCTCTGTAACAAGCATCTGAACAATTGAATTAAAAAGAGAATTAACGACCCAAGACAAATGGAAATCCATGCTTCCCTGCTGCTGAACATGTACCATATGTTACTATTTCAAGTCTTCAATGAACAGTATTTCTGAAAAAATAAAAATAAAAAGCATGGTAGGCACAATCACACACATTCCAAATTAAGTAAATTCTATTTTCCATAAGCCAATACAGGAGAGTCAACAAATTCCAGAGGGCACTAATCACTTTGCATTCCTTTGCGCCACAAACAAATCATATTACCCTCTCCTCAACCCTTCAAATCTTTTTCAGTTCCTATCAATATGTCAAACTTAAAGCAGAGCAAGTATGGACTGTTTCTAGTATTACTTGGACCTCAATTTAAACTGGGCTGAGCATAAACAACACAAGGTCCAGCTCAAGACTTTTGACACAAGACATCCTTCAACATCAGCCACATGCAACA